ATGTGTATGTGTGTGTGTATTATATAATATATAATATAAATATATAAAGTAATATATTGATATATAGATATATATTTAGAAGGATTTGGTAAAATGCTGCACTGATTGTGTTTTTGCACTGTTAGTTGCATTAACTTCTTTGAAAGCACTTTCCTCCTTAATTTTTCCATTTCTGTGATCCCATACTTGCGAAGAATTTTGTAATATTTAGAATATTCAAAAAACCCACCAATATCTCACACAGAACCCTTAACAACTTTATGTAACAATTTTTAATTGTTGTACTTCATGTAATGTTCATTTTCGTAGGGTCATTTGGTTTTTTGAACAGGGCATATATCATGTACACTTGCATTGTAAGTGTCAGGAATATGTATAAATATTCACAAGCACAGATGAGTATATCCATCACAGTTCAGGCTCTAATGTGGATGTAAATATAAACATGAAAACACAGATGCGAAAATTTCTACTCTTCATATGTTTCAGCACTTTCTACCTTTTGTGTCTCCATAGTAACAGGCCTGCACTGTTGGTGAACTCACAGCATAACATAACACTGGGCTACATCTAACTCAACACATCTAAATTTTATGATCACTGCTTTGAATGCTAAGCTTCTCCTTTAGGTAGACCTGTCTTAAGTAACTGTCTGCTTTTATGACTGTCCTATAAAGCAGATTCTGTGTCAGGAACTGTTATGTGGGACTCCCATAGCCCTCTAGTGGCTGCAAATGAGCACAGCTGTTGTGTAACTGGTGTCCTTCAGATAGCCTGTGGCTTTCAGTGCCCACATGCATGCTCTAATTTGTGTTGACTCCTTCCATAGGGAAGGTTTCGTAATATGTCATAAGGCTGCATATGGACAGAGTGCTAATATTGAGATTGTATTGCTACATGGTGCATTTACGAAATACCTTACAGTACATTAAAAATGCCCTAGTTAGTCCATAATGGTACATGGTAAAATATTGGCCTGCACTATTTTGTCCAAACTAATTTGATTAATAATTAGTCGATTGTTAATCTGAAAATATTTAAGTGTATATATATTGACCATTCTAACCTAATTAGTTCCAGCTGCGGTCCCGCGGTAAAAAAACACATGTAAAAGAAACAGATGTAAATAATGGAAGAATTCAGATCTATTTATATCCAAGGCATTGACTGAGATGGTTTTGTGTATATTTAGCTTATTACTATCATTTATAGGGTACTTGCTATTGGGAGGTGTCTGTACCAAACCCTAACCCCTAAATTTCAACCTGTGAAAATAACACTTTTTAAGATCTTTTTAATTTTTAAAGTGAAGTTGAAAGATTTAGATTTATTAGAAGTTTAATAAAAAAAAACACTTCATACAAACAATGTTTTTTTCATGTTTTCCTGTCACTCAAACACAGTTTTAGTCGATAGGTGGAGTCTTATTTTAGCCACACCCCTGCATTTTGGAGCAGGAAGTGAGACTGCATCCCTGTCCCTCATGGCCACATGGGGAGCAGTTAGATCCCATTGTTTTGAAGTAAATGTGTCCCAAAATCTGAAAATCAGTGTTAAATAATAGAAATTGCCACTACCAAAACACTCTTTTCTGCAGTAAACATTTTTGTGTTTTTATAAGAACATTATGATATTATGTGTGTACGACTGTTCAAAGCTGTGTTTGCTAGTTATGTACTGTCTAACGTTTTAGAGTTACGCTCAGAATTAACTCAAATTGTAGCTTCTGATACATTTGGCAGTTTGGGTAGTGTTGTGATTGTTTTGGTAGTGACAAAATGGACTGTTTAATAAAATAAACATATTTAAGGTAACACTTCTTTCTGCTACCTAGCATTTACATTATGTTCATTAATATAACACCAAGTTACCATTACAATTAATTGTCATGACAAAGGTCACAATGTCTGCTAACTAATGAGTGATATAAGCAGCCATGGCATAAAACATCATGACATGTCATGAGAATTACTGATAACGGTAACATGACGTTGTTGTTATATCACTGAACAAAATCTATCACGAGCAAAAACTTGTTCTCTAGTTGCCTGCATACTTGCTAATAGCGCTAAAATTGTAGCTTCCGTTAGCTAACGTTAACTTGGTGATCTCAAAGTGAAGGTTATAAAATGGTGATGAACACATTGGAATATTATTCCGGTTTGCGTTCTGCTTATTGGTACTAGTCCTGCGGCCTGGTCCTTAGCGATTGTATCCTCACCTGGAACAATAAGAAATAGCAGAATTTTTCTGCTTTGTTTAATTGTTAGACTTATAATGATAGTGTTGGGAGGGCTTGGGAGCAGCATTCAATACTGTATAGGTAAGTGGGCTCAGTCAGCCAGTCAGTGATTCAGTGATGGACGTTAACTCTCATAAGCTCGTAGCAGAAACATTGATTTGTTAGAGGTTAATATGCACATTGATGTCTTCTGTGATATCATTATTTCACAGGCCAGTATCGCAGTAATGATATATTGTGCAGCCTTATTATGTATATCAATAAAGAAGAAGCCTATACGAGTTGTTTCTGTTATCCAGTATAATAGATTTGCTGATCGGATTTAAACAAGCAACAAGTGTTTAAGCTCTTTGCTTGCACTTATTCGCTCCTTCGCCCTTTTAACGTTATTCTCTTGTCTTCCCTGAAATGATGAGCGTGCAGCTCGGAACCGCACGCTTTCGTTCTATGGTCAGTGAGCGAGACTTGGACTGTAGGGAGGAAAAAAAAAGTGCGTGGTCGTTTGATCAGCTATTGGCTGTGTTCGGCCAGGTTGCCTTGGCAACGGCCGATCCTGTTGTTGTGGGGTTTGTTTGTGGAGCTCTGAGTGTGTCCCTGAGTGGTCCTCTAAAGACACACAGCACACACACACACACACACACACACTTTCTCTCTCTCTCTCTCCTCACACACACCCTCTCTCAGAGCCTTGCTGATTTGTTCGCTCAGTGCGTTTGTTGATTGTGAGAATGAGGGTGACAGTGTTTCGCTAAGGCGTCGTATACAGCACAGGACAAAGGCGGGTCATACAGGTAGGCCTCCCATCGTGAGCTGATTGGTCAGTTTAAGTCAAAAGTTTAAGCTGAACTTGTGCTGGCTGCTTTGATGGTGTTTTCAGTTGTGATGTCTGCATTCAGAAGTTGTTGACTTGGGCAGGCTTTGGGAATAAGAAGATAGCCGCTTGCTTCTTGTTGATGGTTTTTGGTGGTTTAGAGAGAAACTTAACTTTTTGGTGGATATTCTGTCAGACTTCAGTTCAGGTGTGATCTGCTCTCAAAGTGCTGTTATTTTTTTAGGTTATATTGTGCTAATTAAAGAAATAATTTGGATTGGTCAGTGGTTGTGCTATCTGTCGAATTAACACAATTGTCCCACACGCCATTCGATCATCTGAGACATTTTTCGTGTCTGCTTCTTTAGTTTTGTGCTGGAATTATGAGACTAATGTAGCTAAATCCTCACTTACCTGTAAAAACCACATTGAAATTTTACAGTAGACTTATCATAAATAGTTTATCTTAAACTTGCTTTCTGACACTTTTATTTCTGGGATGTCCCGTTCCCGTTTTTTTTGACCACCTGATGCGATCTGCGTAGCATAACGTTGAATATTGTCCAGTTTTGTCCTAGGCAGTTGTCCAGTTGTCCAGAATATTGTCCAGTATTGTCCTAGGCAGTTGATTAATACTGCAGTGTTAGTTATAATGTGCCATTTAGGACGGATATGTTCTGTTTCATATACTTTTAAATTGGCGTTTGATAGTTTAAAATTGGCTTGTAATCAAATTTTGATTGACCTGTCTGATTATTTGTCTTTAATATCCCGCAACGGCGTCACTTCATTTTTTTATATATGTATAGTGGTATACACTTTGAACTGATATCTTTTAATTGTTTTTTTCCTAACTACTTCTGTACAATAACCATTTTGTAGTATTGTGAATACAAATAGGCCGACTCCAGTTTTGAGCATGGTGTTTCTGTTGATGGCGCAGTGGTTTTGCAGTCGCAAGTGAAAAACATGGCCGGAGTGTCTTTTGTATGTTCTCCAGGTGACATGCTGCTTTGTGACGTTAAGTTGACTGGAAGCCTAACAAGCACATGCTCGCATTTCTTGTGCCAGTGTTTAGACAAAACATACAGCAAGTTTTTTCCACTGTAACATATTTCCACACTGCAGACAGGTCTTTGTTAACTTCTGAAGCCTCACCTTACTTGTGCAAGTTGTGGATGACATCTGTGTCACGTTTATGACATTGGTGTAAGTGGCTGGATCAGGCTTTATATACCTGATCAATAAAAATATTCATTGATATCTGAGTTCAGGTGTGAATGTGCAGTACTCGAATCTAACAGCAAGAGGCAGCAGTGTTTAGCCTTCTGAAAAACAAAAGAAGAAACATTCAACCAATCATAGCGCTGGGTTCATTCCCCAGAGATGACAAATGCGCAGTGTCAATCATTTTAAGAGACTGCAAATCGACCGCAACACAAAATGGGTTTTATCCCTATTGATCCAAGGAAGGATTGTTTCCACACGCGTGTGTTTAACGCACGAGTTTCCTAGTCACGCAAGGTTGCCAGATAATGCGGTTTTGCCAAAAATTCCGCTTAGTCTGAGCAGATGGAAATTACACTGTTACGGTTTGAAAATAATGAGTCGTCTTATGAATGTATATCAGTCCTAGTTTTAAATAGGTGGCAACCTGTTACGTTTCTGAGGGGTTATGTTTCTATCATTGGTGTGGCGCCATAAAGGGTGCAACCTCAGCACCTTTAGTTAGGGGAACACATTGTTGTGTTTGAAAAATGGACAAAAGTGCATTATATGGTTAAAAACAGTAGTAGCTGCCATCGGAATTGTGTCTGTCCCTTTATCCAGGTCAGCCAAAGATCTCTTTGTTTTTCCTTTATAACTGTGTTCATTGTATGTTTACATCCATTTAATTGTATGCCACATGAAATGGCATTATCGGTTGTTTCTCTTTTTCTTTTCCAGAATTCCAGTGATGCCCCCACCACCCCAAAGTTCAGCAAAGAGCAGCGAGACATCTTCTTCCCTGCTTCCTTCTCCACTCCATGCCTGCATGCACACACACACCCCCTACCCTCCCAGGAACACGAGACCAAACTAAACAAGACTGCACGTCCACTTCACACACACTCTCATACACACTCGCACCCACATACGCCCAGCACGCCCACGCAGCTCTACTGCCAGCCCCCAGGCCAGCAGGACCAATCACAGTCCAGGACGACGCATAGTCATCCAATAGTAGGCATGGCCTTCCTGCCCCACACAGGTAAGGCACCAAAACACACCTCAGTTCAGAATCAGTTTTGTTATGCTTTCAAAGGTTTTTACTGTCTTAGCTGTCTGTGATCTCCTTGTGTGCTCGTTCTGGGTTGTTTCATAGAACAGGAATTTTCAGTTAGCCAGATAACTTAAGCCCAGAGCTGAAATTTACAGTCGCCCTCCCAACCACAAGTGTATTCGGTAAACCATAACATGTTTGGTGTCTGACGTTTGCTTCTTTAGTTTTGCACTGGACCTAAAGGATAATGTAGCTAACGTAAAGGAAGCTTAAACACCACCAATTAGCATTTTGCAAACTGCGTACCTAAATCATCACACAGTTGCCTGGAACCAGAGATGTTCCCAAGTCAGTTCATGCCAAGTCCAAGTTGAGTCTCACGTCTCTGAGGTTCATGTCTAAGTGAAGTCTCGACTCTCTGGGGCCTAAGCTGAGTCTCGAGTCTTTAGTAGAGAATTTTAGTTTAGTAATTGGCTGCAAGCATTAGTGGTTTCCTATGATAAAAAGCTTGAAGCCGTTTGAAGCCGCATCAAGCCCAAGCCCGCTGCGACCTGGGCATTTACTGCATTAAGGTGAGCGGTCCTAACTTAATCAGTTTTTGTTATCAGGCTGAGAATTCACAAATTGTTTTCGAGTCATTTCGAGTCCAAGTCAAGTCACAGGTCCCTAAACATGAGATTCGAGTCACTCACTCAAGTCCCCAACTCTGCCTCAGACTGTGCTGAGTTGTTAAATAATTTCAAATAAATGTGGTTATGTAGAAGCAGCTGGCTTGAAGCCTGAATTCTGCCTGTGCGTTTGTCTATTCTGTGTCAGGAACCACATTAGCAAGTTTGTAGTTGTTAGCTATGTTAGCCTCGTAGTTCCAGTGCAAGAAAAAAAAAACAATTTTGGGCACCAAACTTGTCTTGGCTGACCGACTACATTTGGAGTAAATGGGAAAATTGTGCACAATTGGCCAAACCCTTGTTTTAAATTACCCACCTTACTAAGAAATCCTGCTTTGTGAAATATCCCACTGACTTGTAAAGCTTATATCATGTTGTGTCATTAGCCTCTTTAGCCTGCAGTAAATGATCTCGTCTTAGTTCAGCTGGAAGGACAATTTGGGTTGATTTGATTGATTTTCTGAGGTAATCACCGAGAGACCAGTAGAGGGCAGACCAGTGCACTGATGTAATTGCTGCCAAATTCATGAAGCTGATTAGTCTTTCATTAGTGCTAATGCTGTTTGTTACTGTTTATTAGCTGCATTCATTGTCCTTTTATTCTTTTCCTACAAAATCACAGTAGATCAATGTTTCATGACCTTGTTTTGTGCTGGAGGGAATGTCCCACATTAACATCTCTACTTGTCTTACTGAAGTTTTCTCTATGTCTCTAATTATGGACTTTTCCATGTGCACATGCAAATTGTGAAAAGGTGTGCGTGTGTGTGTGTGAGGTTGAGTAGAGTTTCTCCCTGTCAGGCCAGTGAGTTCTGAGTTCCACACTCAGTTGCTAGGGAAACAGAGATGGAGAGATGGAGTAGAATATTGCATTAGTTGTGTGTGTGAGTATCCGTGATATACACTGCATACTGAGTGTGTGTGTGTGTGTGTGTGAGTGTGTGTGTGTGTGAGTGTGTGAGTGTGTGAGTGTGTGTGTGTGTGTGTGTGTGTGTTTCGAAAAGCATCTGGAGACACGAACAGCAAATTTCTACATCACCACAAAACTATTACTTTATGAATCCCCCTTATGAAACATATTAGGTTCATAATTATTATCATTATATTTTAGTCAGGGTTAATCTTGCCAACAACATTACTGGTTGAAATGCTTGTTGACAGTTTTTTTGTTTTTGTCGTTGTTGTTTTTTTAAACTACAATACTGCCCGTAATATCAAAGACATCTATTCAATTTCCAGTCATTAACGATCATTAAGAGAAAGTTTGAATTTTTTTTCTGAGGAGTTAATATAAAAAAATAAAAACAGGAGGTTCAAAACCAGAGATTAAAAAGTTAAAGAGAAAATGGGACAAAACATGTAAAACTGTGTAGACCACCAAAACTGTCCCCATCAGATAAACATGACTTAACAGTTCTTTCATTTTTGAGAGTGAGCTCCACTCTGTCCATCCTTCCTCTGTGGAAGTGGGCAAAACTCTGGAAATGGATAAAAAAAAGAAGCTGCTAGTGTTCTCGGAACATTGGCCTGACCACTCCAGAGTCCAGACCTCAACATCACTGAATGTGTTTGGGGAAAATGCAACTCCAGGGCTGAAAATATCCCTCCAGATTTCTTTGAAAAACTGAAAGCGAGACTCCTGAAAAGAATGAAAGCTGTAATAACGGCAAAATGTGGACACTAAATACTGAGGATCTGATATTATATTTAGTTGTTGAGACTTCTGTGTAATTTTCTGTGAAATATATTTTCAGCTTTTTTCCCCCGACACTGAAAAATGAATAACTTGTACTCAGTGGACATTTTGACTGGAAATTAAAGTGATCGGGTGGTCTCTGACCGTATTTTATGTCGGTAATAATAATTCACTGAATAGCTTTTCTGTAAAAATGAACTTTAACACATGCATCAGCATACCTTGACAGGTGTGGTCTCTTTTAACCTCCTAAAAGTCTGGCATGTGCACCCCCAACCCCCCCCCACACACTGCATTTGCTCGCTTTCATAACTACCTAACTTGCATACATTACTAAAAGTTTGAAATCACCATCTTCATTAATATCAAGCCAGTGTTGTAAATAGTAAATGGGTTTCTATTTTTAGGAAGCTGGGAAAATGTAGTAATTTTCTGTGCTGAACAGAGCTGTAGATGATTCTGTAATAGGTAAGAACATTTGTAGCTGCTCCAGTCAATAATTATTTATAGTAATTTTGTGATGAGAAATACTATAAAGATAATTCATTATTTAACAACTACTTGGTTGCCATGTCAAAACTTCTCATTGTTCTCACAATAATTGTGAATAAACCATCGTACCTGTGATTAAACCACTGTGTGGCCACTTGCGGCCTTTTGTGGCTTATTGCTTGTATCAAACAGCAACAACAAACATTATGATAAAATACGCACATTTTCAACACCATGTTCTTCCACCACGTAGTTCATTTAGATTATGCTGTTGCCAAACAACTATGGACAGCTAAAGAACAAACAGAACTTTGTCATCAATCTTCGTAAACTGACGTTATTTTATAAAGCTTTTCATTTTTGTTATGTAAAAAATGAAAGTATCAAAACATACTAATGCTAATTTTCATTAGCATATCAGTTCAGCTTCGTGTATCGTGTTAGCATCAAGCCAACAGTGCCACATGTTCATTTTCCCACACTCAGTTCAATACCACTTAAGGCAGATATACAAAAAACATGGACACTTGAAGCATGTAAGACATTAAAGGAACGTATTCTTTACTTTTATTGCTGCAGTTCTACAGTGAATCTTTCAGTAAATACTTCATATCAGAGCCTAACACTGAATATTAATGGAGGAGCGGTTTAGCCTGTCGGCTGTCTTTTAGCCTGGTTAGCCTGTCTGTTAGCCAAGTTGTCAGTTCTTCAGTTTAAGCAGAACTGGGTTCTGTTGGTGGTCCATGTAAGCTGTGCAACTGTCCTTTTACAGCAGTGTTTTTTTAGGGAGTTGGTGCATTAATACAAAATTCTGTCAGGGGTCTTCAGTGTGTGTGAATTGAGTATTTTACAGTGGCTTCAAGCTCGACTCAGTCAATCAGATTTTAGGAGTGCTATCCGCCCACCTGTCCTTATTTTTATCGCAAATGGCTTGCTTTTTTATTTTATTTATGAATGTTATTATTATTATCATTATTGTTCTAATGGTAATGGCAAAGAAATATTTATGGAAACAGCACCCTTTTTTATCGTTCGTCTTTCCACCTCATCTTCACCAGTGTGTGTGTCTAGAGGGTCCCACAAGCACATAGTACAGTCCCTGTAATAAAGTGCTGTATTAGGCATTAGTATTGGCCACCTAGTGGTCACATTACAGTATAGCAACAGTGGGAATCTGTGTGTTGACACTGATGACTGTGTGTGTTTGTGTTTTTAGAGGACAGAGAAGCCCCCGCTCCTGAGGGTCTGGTGTACAGACAGCAGGAGTCTCACTTGTGTCAGCAGATGAAGATGGCCACAGTCTCACAGAGTCACGACACTCAGGAGTGGAGCAGCCACGAGACCGCCACCTGCTCCACACATTCCGGCACAGGTAACCCCTCGTTTGTTTGTATAACTTTGTCTGGCCTCTAAACATTGATCTGTAAGCCTTGAGCTGTAGCTGTAGATCTGTAAAACTGTTGTTTTGTGTCTCAGCAGAGATTGTTGACCAGTCGAAACAGGGAGACTCCAGCCGGATCCGCTCCAGAATCCCCCCCAACATGCCTAAACTGCTCATCCCCTCCACCGCCACAAAATTCCCCCCAGAGATAACCGTCACACCCCCAACCCCCACACTGCTCTCACCCAAAGGCAGCATCTCAGAGGAAACCAAACAGAAGCTCAAAGTAAGTCAGAAACAGCAGCTGTTCCAAGGTTTGGAATCATTTTCATTAATATAAAACCAATTGCAGACACGGTACTATGCAAAAATCAGAGATCATCATGTATTTATTTAATTTTCAGATTGAAATTTCAAAATGGCCAGTAAATACCAGTTATTCATTTTTAGTATCTGGATTTGGTTGCATTTTCTGCTTCTCACGGTCCAAATAGTCCCAAACACATTCAATGATGTTGAGGTCTGGAACACCAGCACTTTCTTTGTATGATTTGCACATTTTCTTCTTTACTTTTTTTTTTGCTTTTTCTTTAATGTTTCCTTTTTCTCAGTATGGCTTTCTTGACAGCTACACGTCCTTTCAGACCCATAGAGTTGATTTTAGTTCTCTCATAGTGCAAGGATAGATTTTTTCAGATCTGAAGCAAGAGTGGAGCTTCATTTTCTCCTCCTCCTCAAAGATGAAAGCTTTAGGTGCTGTTTATGTGATCGTCACAGTTTTGCTGGTCTACCAGGTTTTTATATATATATATATATATATATATATATATATATATATATATATATATATATGACATTTTGAATCATATAAAACATATGAAATTTTATCTGCCCAGAATGGTGAACAGAGCTGTAAATGTTTCTGTAATGGTTGACAAAGCTGTAGGGCATCAGTAGTAATGTTTTAATAAAATGAATATCCAAAAGTCCTCCTATTTCAAAACCTCAAGGCAGAAAATTTGACCAAAAACTAATGTAAATGGATAATTACTGTATATTTTTTCTTTTAATTTAACTTCTTATTTCCCCCCCTAAAACTATTGCACAAAATATCTAAGAACTTCTACGGTTTTAAAAACACTTCGTAGTTGTCAGTAATTCACACTTTGTAAATTATTTTTGACAGAAAAAACAAAAATGTTAATATTGCAAGTGATTCTCTATTTTGTACAATGCACAATGTTGACTATGTGTTGGGTTTTTATTGAAAATATCATACAAAGTAATGCTGATCCTGCTTTACTGCTGTTTGAGTAATAACCTCTTTTGTTTTTTCCTCCCAGAATGTAATTCTGGCGTCTCAGTCGGCGGCTAACGTTAAGAAGGACACCCTGACCCAGCCGGCGCTGGAGGTGCAAGAGACGTCCAGCCAGGAGTCCTCACTGGACAGTGAGTCTGACGAGGAGGATGATTACATGGACATTTGAACTGGGAAATTTAACCTCTAGCCTCCAGGGGGCACCAAAGAGCCCTGGACAGTCCATTAAAGCACCAGGAGGCAAACATCTTTCTTTCGCTCTTTCTCTCTCTCTCTCTCTCCTTGCTATACCTTTCTCTTGTTGATTTGCTCATTCTTTTGTCTCGAAGCAATGGAATGTTCCCGGTTCCGCTGCGGTGTTTGTGCACTTGGTCTCTTCGTCCTGCAGCAGTATGCACGTAATTCAGCAAAAGGGCTTTTCTCCCCAAACTTGGCTCGAACTCCAGCTAGCCATGGACTGTGGTTTTGATTTTGCTTTTTGTCGTGGATCAGCGATGCTGCAAAAGTGCCATTTTTTTTACTCCACCAGTCTCAGCAAAACTGCAGCTAAACAACAATCTGTGGCAGAAACAGCAGCTTCTAAACGCCACTACAAGTGACTTTCTTTTAAAAGTCCACAGAGGCTTTTATACCAGGGACCTATGCAGACAGTCTGTTTAATGCAAAGAGTTCTTAAACACAGCCAGAGGGGCATTAGATCAACAGCATTAGTAGTTTTTCCCCAGCGTTTGATAGAAACTTTAATTTTGCTGCGGTCAAAGTAAATGAAATTCGAGTTTACATCACAAGCAAGGTGCTTAAACTCAGACCCGTGCTGCAGTGACGTATCAACCAAAAGCAGATATTTTTCTTCTCTGAAGCTGTCAGCATGCAAGCACAGACGTTTTCAAGAATTGTGCATATGTGAGTTTTTCACGTGGTTGTGTGCGTGTTAAGGGTGGATATTGTGCTATCCACGGTGAAGCCCCTTGCTGTAAGCATGGCTGCCTTTTGCTTGTGTGACTGTCTGTGCTTTAGCAATCAACCTCTCCAAGACTTTGTCCGGTCCAACCTACTAACGACGGCATGAGTTTACAGTTTTCAATAGTGTTGACAGATTTTTTTAAACCACTTTCTAAACTGTTTGCCTCAAAAGTTTTGGTTACTTTTGGATAATGACTGGGTGTACATTGTGTTTGGAGGACAAAGTAAATGGCTTCTAAGCCATATTTAGACCTCCAGGTTTCATAATGTTGGAACTTTTTGGGAACACTTCAGCAAAGTTCAAAACAATTGACCATTCCTGGCTCCGCCCACAAATGCATATATGTTTAGTAAGGTTGGACAAGCTTTACAGAACGTCGGCAGAAAGGCTTTTCAGCCTAATGAGAAATTGTAGTTGGAGATGGCATATCTGCACTGATGGGTATCGGTATTGGGGCGATATCAATGCTGGATCGGATGTCAGAGATCCAACAGGACAACGCCACTAGCGTGAAAGACCTTCCTGTAGGACAGTGGAGTGTTCCAGTAGTTTGAGCGTGGTGGCCTGCTTTTAGATGCGTAGATCTTAAGTGAAGCGCTTGGTTAAAAACAGCTCATTTTAGAGCTTAGTAGAATATATCGAATCAGTATTGGAAAAGCCCTGTGATGGACTGGCTTCCTGTCCAGTGAGCGCTGGGATAGGCTCCAGCAACCCCTCATGACCCTGGAGGAAAAACAACCTAGAAGATGTATGGATGATACTGGGAAAGTACCATGTTGTTACAGCTAGTCAGAACCAGTTAGTGTGCAAACAACGCCAGAATTCACCACCATGCTGTGTTAGCTTGGTTACATTTAAAATAAATGTGAATTGAGTAACACACTCAATTTGCATGTTTTGGACACGTTGTCCACTACACTTTCTAATTAGGTTGAACAGGCTTTTGCTAATGTTCTGTAAAGCTTGCCTGACTTTACAGCCGTTGCTACAGAAGAACAGGATTGTGGGTGCGGTGTGAACAGGTCAACCACTGGAATTCTGTTCAGAGAATTTTCTACTGACTCTGCTTTTCTTTGTATTGGAGTTTTGTTCTATCGTAGTCCGTAATGTTTTCTTTTGTACTCGTTACTTGTATTATTACCTTTTGCAGGTTGTTAGGGATCGTAGCTGAGAGAGAGAGAGAGAGAGAGAGAGAGAGAGGGTTGTAAGCATGCAGGCTCGTAGTCCTGCCACCAGCATTGTGAAGAAGTGTGGGTTGACTTTTGTCTGTTTGTATATATCGCACTTAAAACCGAAGAGCTCCACCAGTTTTGTTATATGATCAGGTTTGTTGTGTCTGGCATCATTCTAACATGAAATGGCTTTTTCACAATCTTTCGTCCTTCAGACCGTAAGGAAACGGAGGTAAAAAGATTTATTTCTGATGATGAAAGAAGTTTAGAGTGCCATGAAGCTGAGACTGGAAAAACTGATGCATTGAATTGACTTGATTCAAATGTAAACATTGCTTCCCGCTTGAATTAAAGTATATGACAGTAACAGATCAGTAATGCTCTGTATTACACATTACGTCCCTTCTTGCTGAAAGTAAGTGATTACTAAAAATCGTATCGTCATAGTCATATCAAAATTTATTTACACTGTTTAAAAAAAAATACCAGCTGCTCTTTAGAAGGTGTGAACATTTCATGATAAATGGACCAATAGAAATGATCCACAGTTATTTCTGGTCCATTGCGTCAACATACATTATGTGTCCATATCTGAAATGTTACTTTTCCTTTGGTCCAGATGTTCTCTGAGCTTGCTTGAGCACAATGAGCACAATAACTGTCAATCAAATCAATCTAAATAAGTAAATAAATCAAGTCTTATCTCTTAATTTATCATATTATTCCAACTGTTGATGTAACTGATTGGCTTCCTAGTGTTATACGTACCAGAGATTATAAATCCAGGACCGGAAACTGGATTCAACTGATTTGAAGACCTCTGTTGCCACTTGAAGTGCCAAGGTTTCATTTCAGCAGTGTCAATTTCTATTAATGTGTTGTAATCATCTGAATCAAGCCAATTCAGTGAATTAACTTTTTCAGTGTAGCATGATCCTGGACACAACTGTGGCGTTGATCGCTGGTGCGGTAACCTGGCCGTAGATGCATTGAGTGCATGTCTGAGGAAGAACTGATTATATTTTTGGAGAAATTAATATGACACACTATGTGTTGTGCTGAAATAAGCTTGTGCTTTGCCTTCCCCACAGATCACTTGTGGAGATCATGTTGACCTCCTTTCCAAGCAGCTGAATGTTGTTTCTTTTTTTCTACGTAACGTTTTGTACGAGTAGATGGATGAATAGCCTCCAGTATTTTTCTTGATCACTGATTTCCGAAGATGATTTTTTTTGCAGAATAAGGAGAAAGCTTGTGTTGACTGACTGAAAAAAAAGGAAATGCAATGGACATTAGACACATGCGCCTGACCAAACTACCTGTAAACAGATAAAGATGTTTGTATTTTTCTCTGGATTTTTTTGTATGGCTCTGCTGTGCTTGTACTGAGAATGTAACGTGGTGGAGGAATGACCGAGGTTGTGGGCACTATTCTCAGCCTCTGTGGAGACGGGCCTTTTACTGTGCTCAGACTTGTTCTAACAGAGGGTTGATATTTTCTCTTACTTTCTGACTTGCTGCATTAAAAAATGTCACAAAACCAAAAATAACACTTGATAACACTTTTTTACCCTGGTTTCTGTGTTTTTCTTTTTTCCTTTAGGTCACTGGTTAGATGTATCCTACACTTAAGCTTTAGAGGTTCTTTATCTCAAATGTCAGGCACTAGAAGTAAGTTCTCTGGGAGGAGGGTCTACCAGAACTGATAGTACCAGGACACAATTTCTACGGAACAAAATGCTTCAGTCACCTGCTAAAAACGGCATGATATGGGCTTGTAGCAATTGTTAATATTTGTAAAAATATGTTATAATCATTTTAAAAGAATTGAGATTTTCCTTTAAAACTGCCATCAAATTTTTCAGTTTTCCCCATTTCCCAAAAATGATTGCTCAACCAAGACAGACGACCACTTTTCCACTGGAGCTACAAGGCTAATGCAGCTAACAACTAATGGAATGGCACTGAAATAAAAGGTCATTCCATGCCTCAAAGCGTATTTGGCCACAGGTTGTTTATTCATGATGGAAAAAAAGCAGGAGCACGCTCTGTACTCCTTTCATTTTTGTTGTATAAGATGCACCTGGCCATCAAGATTGAGACGTTTGGCATCCATAGTTTCCAAAAAATATCCAAATCTGATCTATTTTTATAGCCAAGGTTGGAAAACTGAACTCTTGATGGAACGTTCCGCTACTGTTTCTGATGAATTTTCTGATGCTGCTCCATTAAAATCAATGGAATATCTAGTTTATTGTGTAATCACAGTCTTCTGGAAGCTTATACTCAACAATTGGCATCAAAGCGTAATCTCAACTAGACTATTTTGTGATCTCAAATCGACCACAAGAACTATTTATTCAAAGGCCCAGGATGTTCTCACTGTATCAGCAATAATAATAGGACAGTATTAATATTGAGTAATTATTCTCACAAAAGCACAGTGGAAAAACAAGACATTGTAAATATACAACATGAACAAACAGCAGAAAGAGAATTTCCACACACTCTTGATACCTTGAAATATCATTCAGTTTACAGAGGTCATCGATCTCTCAGCATCTCTCATTCACAGTTTTCTCACAGTGTTTGACCAGAATGTCTTAACTTTCAGTGTAAGTTAATCTGACCTAATTGTAAGTCATGTTGGACCATTTCTATTAGTTCACTCATCATGAAATTGTTTTTCAAATTATGGAAAATAAAAAAAAAAATAGATAAAAGGTTTCATTCATACCGTAGTGATACGGTTGTCCTTGTTTTGGCCTTATTTATTATCCTCGCTGTTGAACATTCTAACAGAGCAGATTCTCAGATGAGAGCGGCATGAGCAGAGGGTTCTAACCCCAGTTTTAAAATGGTCTTGCCTGCTGTGAAAACAGCCAATAAAATCCATGAATCCTTCTGCAAAAAAATATAATAGAAAGATTATCTCAAACATAACACCGAAATAAATCAAAAATGGGGCGTCCCCAAAATATAGGCGTACAAATACCAACTACTGTCCTGTTACGTAAATGAAAGGGCAATGATCCTGGCTAACTTTGCAGTTATACAATGAACTGAGTGTAGCATATGCTCTTATTTATGGACTTGCAGCTCGCAAATAGACTTGCTCATGTGTTTCTGTATGTCATACTGTTACAGTGGTGTCCTAAGGTTTGAACACGTGGTCAAATTACAGGTTTTCTAAGTGAAAGTAAGTTAACACATCCTCTACTGAGAACAAACCTAAACACGTCATTTTTCTGCACATTTTAGTACACAAGAATTTAACATATTGGAAAAAAAACGAAATATAAAATATGCCATAACTTCTGCACAGGCCACATTTTCCAATATGTTAAGTTGAGCAAATAAACATATATAATTTTTACTTTTGCAGAGAAGAAATCCCCTTGGAATTATAAGGTTCTATCTGAAATTTTTGTCACAATTCAGTTATTCACATTTTCTTACTCTGTGACAAGAATTAACATCGTGTGAGGTGGTTTTTTTTTTCAGTGCATTTTTGGTCTCTATCTAGAAAACAAAAAGGTTCTCTCTCCAAGCTCAAACTCTAACTTAGTTCTGTAAGGTTCTGCGAGCCAGTCAGCACTTCAAATGCACAGAGGAGGACCAATCAAGTTCTGCTTCCTTGTAATGTCACTGCACTGCTCAGTGACTGCAGTAAAGTTTATAAAACTTTACGAAACGTTGCTGAAACTCTGCCTGTTTTCTTGTAGTTCTGTAAAAAGTCTTATTGTCTTAAAGTTCCTAAATGTTAAGCCTTATAGGTAATTAAACAGTAAACGTTCGATTTGATGGTCTTAATTACAACATAAACACTAATTTTATTCATTCATCCATCTTTTCTTTTTCTTCTTTCTCCCAAAATAAGACATTTTGGTGCTTTAGTGTCACATTTCTAATATTAAAACCTCACACTGCCTTTATACTGACCGGCTACACTTACTTGCTGGGACAGTTGATTAGCTGGTTTCTGTCTAAAGGAAACTTAAACTAATGGTTCCTACCGAAAACTGACCTCTGCACTGGACAAAAAAAAATCTAGCACTGACCTTTATACTTAATCTATCAATCAATGCTTTTTTGAATAAGAAAAAGATTATTTGTCCTAAAACAAGAAATAGATGGCATTAAAAAATAAATAAATAATAAAATGTCATAAAAATGTCATAGAAAGCATTAAATTGAACTTTCTGATACATGTAGAAACTCTGTTACAACACATTTTATGTTTTAAAAGAAATTGAGTGTAAAGTGTGTACAATTTGCTTATTTTCATGTTTTGCCTGATACAACCTCATAACTCCAAGCAGAAAGTGAGTTCTTAGAAGGTTCTGTCTGTATTTGACCTGTTCCAAAAAAAATAATTTACAAACTTACAAACTATGATTTTGATGTTGTACATTTAGAATACATTTAGGCTGTCTTTCATATTCATGTACGAAGGAGACGCGTTCCACATATCAGTTTTGCTGTTCGGAATGCGAAATCTTTGATGGTCAATATCTCAAAACAGCTCAGAACCCAGACAGAACCTTATAATTCCAAGGGGACCAAGTGTGTACAACTCTATAAACATGGGCGAAAGTGCATCACTGTAGTAGCCATCTTGAAGTGCAAAACAGAAGAACTTTGGACAGCAAACATCCTTGTAAAGCAACTACTTTTCCGGGGGTGCCAAACTGTTCCTTTCAAATCGCTGAGAACCGTTTATGTGAAGAAAGAACAACTGCATATAAAATGATACAGTAAGAATGAGGTTTTGTGATCTTTCTCCTACTTGGCGTGTGTTGTTTGGCTGTTGTCCTTTTGCTTCCAGACCACCCCGTCTCTGTTAGCCAGGCTGTGTCAAAGGGAAGGGCCGGCCAAGCGTGAAGGCCTCAAACCTGAGGCAGGACATTAGGGCCCATTAGCAGCTCCCAGAGGTTTCTTATGAAGTGCTGCCAATTTGTCATTCACTCCCTTTGGCAGGCATGCTACACTCTCAGGTTTGTTTTCTTACAAACAAGGCCAAATGTGCCACTCATCTTCTGCAAAGGAGGATGGGAGACGCTGGCTTTCTGTCCTTTTCTCTTTGGTTGAAATGCTAAGTCTTACATTTACATACCCTGATTATTTCATGTTGTTCCTTGAATGCCTGGTAACTGCCAAGGATGGGGCAGTTCCATGTCTAAGGCCTTAGTTGATCCTAAAACACCAAGCAAACCTTCTTGCTCATGCCCATTTTGTCCATAGATGCTAATTTTACTCCAAGGCCACATTTTTCCAACAAACCACACGTACCCAGACAAGCTTAGTATATTCCCCTTGATTGCTCGTACCTGAGCCCTGAAAGTGGCCAATTAGAGCATCAAAAGGGAGCGTTGCATGGCTAATGCCAGTGAAAGGTGTGAGATTTCTCGTCGGGCCTTGGCGGGGGGGTCCTTTATGGCGGCCCACAGCCGTCTGATCCCTGCCCAGAAGTGCCTGTGTATTGGCAGCTGTTAAGCTATTGAGCGCCAATGGTGTCCATGCAAGGCACAGCAAATGGCAAAGCTGGCTGACGCCTCCAGCCTCAAAGGTCTGGGAGAAGGGCTGGAGTTAGCAGAAAGAAAGTATAAACGAGAAGGCACTTTTAGTCTTTTAAAGTGGGGTCATTTTTGACGAGATGAGGCAAAGAGCTGTGTGGATGGCAATAATTTCCTCCCTCAAACTACATCCATCAGTCATTGCGCTGCCTGCTCTCAGTTTTTCAAGACAGCTTTAAAAAGAACTGCAATTTAGAAGGAAACAAACTAAATCAGGGAGCCAAGGTTTTCACTTAATGACCTAGCCCTACTTCCAGCGATTGATTTAAAGAAGTTTATGTGGTGGCTCAAAGCCATGGCCATGACCAAGCTCCCCACTTCCTGCTATGGTGCTGATCTAGGGTCAGCTTGTCCTCTATAACAACTACTCACCTTCCAACCAGCAAGCTGATCTCGGGTCTGCCTTCATCTGTCAACACCGAGCTCCGTGTGAATGGGGTTCGGCTCAGTAGGGCTCTCTTGATCTCTGTGGGGTCTTCAACAGGAAGCCTCCCGTAACGTTTAGATATGACACCTCGGACAACCTTACATTTCCTCTAAAGCCGGGCCATGTGTTTTCAGCAACACATTAATGATATTTTAACTTGATCAAAGATGCATAATTTTATGACATGCTTCACGGCTACATGAGGTTAGCTGGAAGTCAAGAGAGCCCAACTTTGACCTTTTGGAGACTGCATTAGGAGAGTTCTTGAGGTTTCTACTAGGGAACTGTGAAAGTAGGAGCTCATTAAAAATGCAAGATGAATCAGAAAGTTCCATTTCCATTTTGCTCCAGCATTACATTGTTGGAATTTCCAGGGCCATTGTTGGAGCTTATGTGAAGAAACTTGTTTCCTTCTCCACAGCTACACTCATAATGTGTGTCATTTCTAAGTATGTAAACACCTCGTAGGTGTTAATAAGCTAGTAACCCCATACTTAGCCTTAAAGTGAGCTTGGGTGTCCGAATCATCGAGCCTGAGCCGCTAATACTGACAGCACTGGAGAAGATTTCACCTCATGCACACTCAGAGGCTCAGTCCAAGACTCTTCTCCAAGCTTGTGCCATTGTTTTACTCTTTAAGGCCTTTTCCAACTACCACTGTCCACTAATCATCAGCTTCTGGCTTGGGAGTTGCCTCTGTTTTCCTGTTTTATCCATCTCATTCTCTCACTTGTCCATCAGCCTTATCACCAAGTGTAATGGTCCTGACGTAAATGCTGTTGAAATGTACACCTCTCCTCCATCAACATCTTACAAGTCACGGCTCTGTTTTGCCGCTGGGTCAACAGGGGTTATGAGGAATTCTCTTATGAGTATCATATCCTGAATGATTTTCCCAAATTGCTTGGTCATGCAATGTGATCCACTTAAAGAAACTGAAAATACTATCTATGAAAATCTGTTTAGGTCTCCATTTTGAGTATAACGTTCTATGTGCCGCTGACAAGAAGAAACTGCAAGTTAGCGACAGCTAATGTCCTTTCACTAGCTAGGGCAAAAGTCTTTTTAGAGGCTGTTTTTGCTACATTTGCATTTACAGTCATATGCACAAATTCCAATACACCAGGTTATATTACATGTTTTTTGATTTTATAAGTGAAAAAGTTCATATTGCTGTTGTTGGAACAAAACCTCGTATCTCCACAATGGTAACTTTACCGGAGAAGGAAAAACATACTTTCCTTTAATGTAAGTAAACGGAACCAGATTTTTTTCCAAGTCATTGTGGGCCGTTTCTTTTGGTCCATTCATCATGAAATTTACATACAATGTAAAAGAAAACAAGCACTTTCAAAGTATGTCAAAAACTGAAAAATGACAAAAAATGGAGATGTGAGGTTTCGTTCCGACAGCAGCGACATCCTCTACAGAAACACATTTAAATATGACGTTACTGCACAATTTCCATTTCATTTTCATTTTTCTATTTATTTGTTTGTTGAGTTTAATATATTTGGAATAAATCTAAGAAAACCTCACATTTTAGGCTTTATTTTTTCCCAATTTGTTAAATTCAGCAACTTTAATTGTGCAATAACATGCAAAAGTGTCTGTAGAGGACGTGTTAACTTGCACTCTTAAAAGAATTTAAGAGTTCTTTAGGGAAGAAAATGGTTCTATATAGAACCATGAACTCTCAAAAAACCCTTTACATGATTCAAGGGTTCTTTGCATCCTGAAAAGGTTCTGAGAATGTGCTGTAGATGCTTCTATAAAGCACCAAAAAGGGTTCTTCTATAGTTACAATGTCAAGCTTGAAACAATAGAAGAACCCTTTTGGGTGCTATATAGAACCATCTCCAGCACATTCTCCATTAATCTAAAGAACGTTTCATGATGCAAAGAATGCTTTAATCATGCAAATGGTTCTTTGAGTGTTCATGGTTCTATATAGTGCCAGTTTCTTTACTGAAGAAGCCTTGAAGAACCGTCTTTTTTAAAGTGTGTATTTTCACTTAGAAAATCAGCAAAGCACAATTTGACAGGGGTGCCCAAACTTTTGCATGCTCTACATTCTGATGACCTCTTATGATTTAGTGTAAAATCCTACCTAGTGAAAAAAAGTAAGGCTCGATCATTTTGAATATAACATACCAGTAACTGTTATAAACTCTGTAAATTAGCAGCAGCTTAGCAAGTTTTAATGAGTGACTTGAGTTCCAGAATGTTCTGATTAGTCAAACTGCAAGACTTCCAGTGCCAATGTTACAGCTTATGTGAAGAAACTGAAGGAACTGCTCAGTTCTTGTCTTCTCCACAGCTACACTCATAATGTGTGTCATTTCTAAGTATGTAAACACCTCGTAGGTGTTAATAAGCTAGTAACCCCATACTTAGCCTTAAAGTGAGCTTGGGTGTCCGAATCATCGAGCCTGAGCTGCTAATACTGACAGCACTGGAGAAGATTTCACCTCATGCACACTCAGAGGCTCAGTCCAAGACTCTTCTCCAAACTATGCTATTGTTTTACTCTTTAAGGCATTTTCCAGCTATAAGTGAGATCCAGATCGTTCACATTAGTCAATCCCTGTCTCACGTCTCAGGCCAAGACTGGTCACAGTGCTACTGTAATGTTCAGGACTAGAACTTGTGCGCACCAGAACTGATGTGTGTTTGACCTCAGTGTGGAGTGAGATGCCTGACGCATCACGTGTGGCTCCTACCAGCTCTTATAATGTGGAAGAACTGAAACCTGGCCATCACACCTTCAGCAGTGCGAGAGAGAAAGAGAGGGAAACAGAAAAAGAACAAGGCCTTTGCTGTTGCTGCCTTTAATGATAATCTGAAGTCTGTCACTGAGGTGTGAGAGGACCTTGAAACGTTCTCCTCTGCTCTGTATGGATGCGTTTGAGTTATCGGTCTAATATGCATCCACTTAGACCGGCCGGTTTTTGTCGATACTTTCACAGCTAGCGCAGGCTTTCAGCTCATAAACACACAATCCTGCTGTAACTGCTGCTCCCTTTATGACTGGAACTTTCTCTTTACATTCGCAAAGATGTAAAACAAATGTCCATCTGTCTCTATTTGGTATTGATTGAAACTGAAAGCACTTAGGAAACAAGCTGCAGCTCTCTGAATTTCCATGGTTATTGGAAAAACGAGAAGCAAAAGGCTATCAAAATGTCAAGCCACAGAGACTGAGTTGGCCTGGGGGAGATACAAGGTGCTTTGTGTGTTAACAAAATGCTTTATCAGGTCTAAAGCTGCTGCTTCTTTCCAGACAGAAGTGTTTCTTGTAAAGACTGATGGTGTGAATCTGTGTCGTTAAGGTGAGCTGATACACTCGGCTTGACTACACAGTTTACTTCATAATGCTTAATTGCTAGAAATTGCTTTAAGTAAAATATCCAGCATTAGAGCTTTATAATAAATTTAAAATCCATTCATAACTCTAAAAGATCATAGCTCCCCCAAGACTGGAGGCTACAGCAGCTGTGCTAAGTATGTTAACTAATTTTATGTCCTCGGTCAGTTTTCTGTAATATGTTCATGTGTCTTTAATCTGATTTTCATGATGTTCTAGTTATTTTAGAAGCTGCTGATGTAAGCCCAGTTAGCAAAATGTGTTTGGGCCATGTCCTCGGGTTTGTTCCGGCTCAGTATACTGCTGGATCCTTGGCCTAGATCTGGCCCAAACACTGTAAAGCAAGTAGAACTAATGGATCTGGCCCAAATCTGGCTTAAATCTGACCCACCTACACGGTTGGTCCACAACATTCACACCAGAATTGGCCCACAAATATTTACACAAGGCAAAACCCTATGAAGCTGTACAAGATCTGACCCAACTCTGGCCCTCATGCCTAACATCTGCCCAGTTGTCAACCAACACTTGCGCAGGAAAGCTCAGCCCAAATCGCCCCAAAACTGTCTGCTATCTGGGAAGCTAAGGAGACCGGTGTGCCTCTATTCCCTCTGAGCTAGCATCTAGCATGTGAAAGATGTTTGCTAACACTCTAACAGTGCTTGAACCTGGTGTGGACATACAGAGTGGACTGTGGATTGAGACTGCCAGCTCAAACATCAGTCATATTGAGTCATTTTAATATTTTTAATCATAACTAAACACCAGTGTAATAAAAAAAATAAACAGAACTTAGCAACTTAGCAACTATCTACACTCTTAAATATGGTTCTTCAAGGGTTCTTTAGTAAAGGGGATGGTTCTGGGGATGGTGAGTTCTATGTAGAACCATTCCATGCTTAAATAGTTCTTTGCATGGTGAAATGGTTCTTCAGACTGATAGAGAATGTTGTACATGGTTCTATATACAACAATAGCAACAATAGCTGAACCCTTTTTGTTGTTGTATAGAACCACAACACATTCTCCATCAATCTGAAGAACAATTTCACGGCGCAAAGAACCATTTAAGCATGAAATGATTCTACGTAGAACTCATGGTTCTGAATACAACCATTCTCTTTACTAAAGAACCCAAGAAGAACCATCTTTTTAAACAATGTACCACATTTGGTAATATTTCACCAGTAAACATTTCCGAACATGTCTCCAATGAGTCTCCAGACTCCAGACTGGCACCAATGCTTATTTCCTCATTTGCGAATACAGCAAGTCAAGCACTCACTTTGGCTTGCTTTCAGTCACAAATGAATATCAATAGTTAGCAATGTCCTCCGAAGATTATTCACGCAGATAAAAACCACTCTGCCTGTTTGTGTGTTTGTTCTCTGTACCTGGAGATCAATTGTGCTAACAGGCTGTGAAGTGCTGGGCCATACAGTCAAATTCTGCCCTCCCATCCATTTCCTCCCACTTTTCTGTGCGTCTTTTCTCTCATGTTCTTCTCATTCAGTGTCGTCCATCTCTAATTCTCTATTTTTTCATCTACTCTTCGTAATGTACTCTCTCGCTCTTTCTCTCTCTCATGAATAGAAAGCTGAAAGCTTAAACCAGGAGGACTGTGGTCCAGCTCCTAATGAGATTAAGCACTGAAGCATTGTCACGTCTAGACAGGGTGAATACACAACACTCCAAGCCACCCCACACCCCCCCCCTCCTGAGACAGTTTATGTCCCTCAGGTAAGCTCACCTGCATCTTTGCCCCAGGGCCTGCTTTCTGTTCTAACTCAATAAGTGCTTTATGTGGTCCTCACCTTCCGTCGCTCTAATGGTGGTGATTTTCAGTCCAGATTCAGTTAAAGGTTCACTGATGGCCCTAATGCATCTTCTCATATAAATTAACAGGGAATAAACCCTTCAAAAAGGACAGAGTGGTAAATGTGGGCTTGATTATAAATCCGTGTAATGGTCAGCACTTGGCCAGTGATTTAAAATGAAAATGGGTTTTTTTAGATGTTGTGAAAGAAATGAATGCTAATTTTGGGTTGATTCTAAAAGACAGATTTACAGCAGTTGTTAGGTAATTTGGTGGAAGGATGGCTCTCTTGGCACACAAATATAGCACACGATGCTTATTTCTTTGAATGATTCTCTACAAATACTAACGTCCATTGACTTGTATATTATTAGTATTGTGTATCATCAATTTGCACTAAGAAAAGGCTTCTTTAGCTCTTCACCGCAAAGCAACACTTCTCAGGAGCCTCTGCTTGTTGCTCCAGTGAGAATTAGCGGATAAGTCTGTGTGAATTAGCCAACGTTCCCCCGAATGTGTTCGATTTTGTTTGGGGCAATGTGTAAATATGCCATTTAGGCCTAGGCTCTCGTACGCTCTCCCTCACATTAGCTGGCCGTATTAAGGTGCTTGCGCTGTTGACTCAGCCTGCGGCGAGCTCGAGGGAAGCCTGTGCGTATTTGTTTAAAAGTCTTTTAGCAGTTCATAAAGACAGCCTTCCTCCGCTGGTCCCCTTCCTGTTGGGACTCTGTCAAGGCTTTGCTAAGTCTCTTTGATTTCCCCCATCCTCCAATCACATCATGACATTGACTCATCACTGGGCCACTTCAAAGGGTGCGAATAGGGGCCCAAGCCCCGCCCACTCTCAGGGACCCCTTAAAGCCACGGGCCGTCCTCGCTGTTCCTCAGAAAGCTGACCGGCATCACTCTTCCTCCACTTCTTTGGACTTAAGCCATCAGCACTTGGATCTAACTGGAGCTTTCAGAGGAACCTCATGGAGAGTTTGCTGTTGTGACTGAACACACCTGGAGGAGACGCTACTCGTTCTGACCTTTTCACAAGTCTGTGGCAGCAAGAAAAGCTTGCAAGGGATTTGAGCAATGCAAGCCATTAGAGGTGAGTGTGGAGCTCTTTGGTTTGTTGGGCATATTTAAAGCTAAATACTCCTAGAAGTGACAGTTAGCATCTTGCACTGTATCTCCATAAGAGGTCTCAAATCTTTGTCCTTCTTCTACTGGTTCTCCTTTGCTTAGACCTCAAGCACAACTTCAGCATCCCACCTCCATCTGCAATGGCTGGAGCTGCTGACTCCTATCTCCAAGGCAACATCAGGATGACCCTGGAGGACCCTGAGCTGTGGAAGTCCTTCCATGAGATTGGCACTGAGATGATCATCACCAAACCTGGCAGGTAAGAAAGCCAAAAAGACAACTGTCCATTTTAGCTAGCCTATTGTAGTGATGTACTGACCAGCCAATCTTAATCATTTAGCGTTTGTAGACGGAGCTTCTTTTAACTAATACGTTTAAGTCTATTTGGCCAGTGAAGTAAAAAAGTGACCAGAAGTAAATGCCAGTGTCTGAAAGTACATGCTTTGTGTCCATATTACAGGCGAATGTTCCCGCATTGTAAGATCAACATTTCTGGACTTGTGCCGTATGCAAAGTACATCTTGCTGGTGGACATGGTGCCTGAAGATGCCTTCAGATACAAGGTGAGAATCAGCTCAGTTTGAAGCCTGTATGTTACAGAATTTGGTGGCAGTGATCTCTTATGGTTGATGCATACTGGAATTACAGTGACCAAACAGTCCCCCAGTGCGGTGGCTAATTGCTCATAATTATTGGTCCTCAGTGCCAAAAATATCAGTATGCTAAAAATGGACAGTCAGGAAATGGTCAGAGGGCAAACTGGTGATTTCAGATCAAATGCAAACGACTGGAGCTTTGGAACAGTTGGTGTGTGTCTGTGTGTGTCCAGAGACTTCTCACCACTGATTACACTACCCAGCTCACACACTCCACTTCAAAGAGCCCCAAACTCTTCCTGTTTTTACAGGACCCACTGGGGGGTCCCGCTCCAAGATCACCCTCTTCCCCCCCACCCCCTGTCCTTCTGTCACTGACAGAGGTGGTGAATCTTCTTGTCCTTGACAGTCACCTCTGTTACCCATCAACTACACCACTTTATCACATTTCAGTACAATGATTGGTGAAGTTAACCTGCTTTTTCACTCCTTCTCCACAGTGGAATAAGGATAAGTGGGAGGTGGCTGGAAAGGCGGAGCCTCAGCCCCCGTACAGGACGTACCTGCACCCGGACTCCCCCGCGCCGGGCAGCCACTGGATGAAGCAGCCCGTCTCCTTCCTCAAACTCAAACTCACCAACAACGCCCTCGACCAGCACGGACATGTAAGTGCTTCCTTTTTAATGGGTTCTAGATTCATCTAAGACGTGTTTGAGTTCAGTGAAAGCCTATAAGAGGTTTAGGCTTTTAGTTGACACCAGGTGATGAATTAAAGATAATCAATCTAGCAATAAAATGAATGAAGCAGAAACTAGTGTTGAACAATTTGGAGAAAATATTGGGATTTTTCTAATAATGCGACTGCGATTATTTACTATAAATTAAAGTTCAAGTTTGCCTAGAAGACCAGAATATCCCCTTTTTCTGGCTTGAGGCTTGACCCCTGAATGTAGTGTGCTTGACAGCCAGTAAATTGTGGTTGTGATATCACAACACATGAAGATTTGCTTGCTTCTGATTGGTCTAGCTCTGTGTTATTGGCTTAAATAAATCTTAAGAAAACATTTTTAATCATGCAGGCTATAACTTAAAAAATTGCAGCTATTGCGATTTAAAAATTGCACTCTTTCACTAAAAAATTGCGATTTCACCATAAAAATGATCTTTCAGCTGTAGGGTAAAACCATAATGCACTCCGTGATATATTCCGAGTGAATTCCGAGCAGTATCAGGGAGGATCTCAGATTTTTTTCCAGCCTTTTAGTGCATGTAATCAAACTCAAAATACAATTTTAAGGCAGGCAAAAGTAATTCGTTTTGATGGAAGATTGCAAGAATTTTGTATTTTCAATGATATATGATGATTTTTTGCTTAATATTACCAGGAATATGAACTAACAAGGTAAAAAGTTTGTTTGATCTGAGGCTGTAATCTCAGACAGGTTTCTGACACTGAATGACCTTCTGTTATCTATAAAAATGGACCAAATATGTGTCAAAAAGCACAGTTATGTACATAAACTAGATTAGCCTAACTCAAGCAAACATGTCTTGGTTTAGGATCTATATTTAGGATAAGGGGAAAAACGCCATACTGACCCTTTTAATGTTCACTATCTGACTGTTTTTCCTCTGTGCTGTAGATCATCCTGCACTCTATGCATCGCTACCATCCGCGCTTCCACATCGTTCAGGCCGATGACCTGTACAGCGTTCGCTGGAGCGTCTTCCAAACCTTCACCTTCCCAGAGACCTCCTTCACTGCCGTCACTGCCTACCAGAACACTAAGGTGTGTGTATCTCCTACACGTACACAGACGCAGTAGTGATGCTTACAGGCCACACCATTCTGTTTTCTCATGTGACTAAAGTGATTACTGTCCTTTTACAGATAACCAAGCTGAAGATTGATAACAACCCCTTCGCCAAGGGATTCAGAGATGAGGGCACAAACTCCAAGAGGTAAGACCACATCAGTGCTATTGACATCTAGTCTGTTCCTCTTTCCATTCTGTCATGGCATCAACTGATTTTCTCCTTCTTTCTCCACTTAGACGTGCTAACAGAGGTTCAGATCCTGAGAGGCTGGCCAAGAGGCTCAACTCCATGGTTAAAGATGCAGATCAAGACAGCCCACCAGGTACACACCAAGCTCTCAACACACTGATTAGCATACCCGTCCTTATACATAAGCTCATTTGATGGGTTGCCATGGTGTGGAAAAATAAACAGGATCTTTTATCTCTTTTAGGCATGTGCCGCTCCTCCTACGAAGGTCTGGACGATGGGAGAGCAGCTTCTAAGGAGCTGGAGGATGTGAAAGAGGAGCGCTATTCTCCATGGGGAGGTGCGTCTGACCGGGAGAACCAAGGACTTGGCAGAGAATCACCGCTGGGCTCTGATGCTCGAGACATGTACAACACTGAACAGCTTGTGCCAGGACACAGCACGTACCAGCCTTACAGGTACATACTGACCTTAGAGAAACTCCCTCACAAAGCAGTGTTAGTGAGGTCTAGTGATACATAGCACTGATACAAAAAGCATTAAAACGTTCAATGTCGTCAATATATGAAAAAACGCGTTGTTTGCTTATAAAAAAAGTGCCCTTTAATGTTCTGTAGGGATCAAATCTAGAACTATATATGCAGCCATTATGACAGATTGCAATACACTACAGGAAGCTTTGGCAAAGTCCATATGTCTAATATTTCTCATTGTAAGAATATCATTGTTATTTATTTCTAGACATTTTTACTTGTTTAAGTAAAAAAAAATCTAGTGAAATTTTGCTTGTTTAAAGAAATAATGTGTTTCTGCCAATAGAATAAGACAATTTGACTAGATAAAACAACCTAAAACACGTAAAAAATGTCTGTATAGAAGTTAAATAATCAACGTTTTACAACAACCTCAAAATGAGAAATAGTAGATATATCGAGTAGATGTAAGATGATTTCACTTGCCAGGACTTTTTTTTCTGTGCTTCCCAGATGAGGATTAAGCCTAGTATTAGTGAATCGCCATTGGAAGTTCTTTTTCGTCTAGACTCTGTTTAATGTGGGTCAGAGAAACTGCCCCATAATGTTTAATGGGCCATCAAAGAAGAAAGCCCTTGATGCGTCACATCACTATCGCCAATTTACACTTTGAATATTTCAGTATTTCTTTTTTCATTCATTTATTAGCTCTAGCTCTGTAGCTCTGACTAGTTGGATTGATTGCTATTCCAAGAAGAAATTAACATGAATACATTGAAATATCACGTTTCCAACAATGCAAATATTCAATTGTTAAAAATTCCTGGGTAATTCCTGAATCAAACTGCCTGCTGTGCTTAGCCCAAACTATCATTTTCATCAGTGTCAATAATTAATTCTCGATCTTTCCTCAGGTTTCATGAATACGGCAAGTCCCCCTCTCCGTCCTCGTCCAGCCTGGGCAGCAGCGGCAGCGCCGGACGCTCCAGTTTCGAGTCCCGAGTGCCTGACGTGGCTACCGTCCCGGACCATGACAGCAAGCCCTCAGCCCACGACTCAGGCCTTCCCCACTGCCCTCCTCACACGTCGGCCACGTCTCAGGACTACACGGGCGTCCTGAACATGGCCGTGGCTCAGGCCAAGCCGACCATGCTGGGACACCCTCTGTACGCCCCATACGGCTCAGAGCAGGCCCTAGGCCAGTGGGCCAGCGGGACTGGGTCTTCTCAGTACCCCCCGCCACCACCACCCCCACCCCACCATCACCCCCACCACCACCACCTGGCCACGGACTACAGCGCTCAGGCCGTCCATCACGGCTATCACCACAGCAACGTAGGTGACTGGAGCCAATATCCACTCTTCTCCTATTCCTGCTGGTGAGGATGAGGGAACAAGACATGGACACAGATGGACAAACCGACTCTCTCTTAGTCCCTCTTTCAGTCGCAAGCTCAGAAATGAGGTGCGGTGGCCATGTGGGACCAGAAAAGGCCAGATGGTTTTGGTGACTTTGAAATTGGCCATCATCTGGAGCCGTTTAAGGAGACCAAATTAACGTTCTAGCTTTGAGTCGATTCATTTTGTTCTTGGAGTGGTGTTAGCATGATGGAGAAATGGTCCAAAACAGATGCCTGTTCAGCTTTGTCTTATCAGCTTCATGAGTATTGCTGCTAACTGAGAAGCCCCGAAAAAGACTTGTCTTTCTTCTGAAAGGACTGAAATATGATGCTTATTTATTAATGAATGGTTTTGCTGTTTAACATTATTGTTATGGAGATGCTTTATTCTGATGGCCTGCTGTAGATGCTGTAGATGCTGTAGATGCTTAACCCTAAAACGTAACACTTACTATAAACCTCAACCTAAACGGACCATCAGAATAAAGTGTAACCATTATTTTTGTAAAAAGAAGAAAAGAGATGTGTGCTGTAAAATGCCTGTGTACAAACTGCATTGTGAGTGTCTGAAAAGTCAGTAAAGATAATGTAAAACTCTTTCCTGGTGATGTTTTCATTTCACATTTATTTCAAAATTCATTTTGCTTTAGCAACAAGGGGTCAGTAAACAAGGTGAAACGTCTGGAACAGTAGTGGGCGATGTACCTGGTTCATCTGCTACACTGGTTGAAATTCTTTTTATGGTATTAGTTTAGTCATTGTCTAGCATGGAGACTAGCTGGCTTTCCGTGTGCACTGCCTATGGTGCTCCTTGTTCAGCCAGCTGCTTCAGGCAATGCCGCAGCCTCGGCCTACAAAGCAAGCTTCTCAGCTAAAACTGATAGTGTGAACGGCTTGTAATGTTTACTAAATCCCAGCAGCGTCTGACAGTCTTAGATTAAAGCGTAAGTGTTAGAAATGCACATATAAGATTAATTATTTTTGGATGTAAAACAACATTCAGCACCGTTTTTACCGCACTCAGAAAAGCCACTGTGGGAAAAAAGAAAGCAATATTGACATCTGTTCATTTCTGTTTTTACTAATTGCCCAATACAAATACTTTAGATTTACTTCAGTTGTTAAATATAATTCTTATTATAAGTGAAGACATTCAGAATAATACATCATTGTTAATCTACAAAAAGGTTTACATACACTGCTAAAAAAACAGCGAAGACCAGCATGCATTTCAGGTCTCAAACTGGTTTATGGTGGTCTGGTGCTGGTTTATTTGGTCACCCCTGCATAGCCATACTGGTTGACCAGCATACCAGTGTCAAAATAGAACATGTCGCTGTTGTCAGAGGAAAACCTCGTATCTCCAAAACGATAACTTTACAGGAGAAGGAAAAACCTACTTTACTTTCAATGTAACTCAATGGAACCAGAATTTTTTCCAAGGCATTTTGGGTCTTTTTTTTTGGTCCATTCATCATGAAATGTACAGACAATGTAAACAGCAACAGGCATTTTCCAATTATGTCAAAAACTGAAAAACGTCAAAAATGGAGATACCAGGGATTCTTTCGAGATCAGTGATATGCTGGTTTTGCTGATGACCTGCCATGCTGGTCTGTACTGGTTTTTCTAGCTGGGTAATCATCCAAAAAGGCTTTATTTGAAAAATATACATATACTGTGATATTTACCAAAACCGGTAATCCTAATTATACCCTGATATGAATTTTTGCCCTGGAATTAAGTCTGATTTCCATGGCATCTGTTCATGTAAATTTGGAACATCTGTAGCTCTACTGCTTATTATCTGTCAGGAAAGCTCTAAAGTCTGTTTTTATGGGGAAGTAGAGTAGACGCAGTGAAGTTAATGAGAGCAATTAGTAGGCCTGTGTTACATCCTTAACTACTAACAATCAAACTACGTTTATATTACAATATTTTTAAGGCTTGGTAGATGCCTCCTTTTCAATATAATTTCCAAGTTTTCTCAGATTTCACCCAATACCTGTTTGTAAAGTGCCTTATTTATCCAGATTTAGTCAATTCCCTTACATTTTAACATGCTAATGAAATTAGGAATTTGAGCCCCCAGAATTTCTATATATGTAGATTTGTTTGTAGAAAATCTCACAAAAATCAAATACATTTGGCTTTTCATTCCACAGCTTTACATATTCACAAAGAAGAGATGCCAAAGTCAGTTAACACAGAAACTGGTAGAAGACATGACGGCCCAAATAAAGTGCTACCAAACTTTCATCCAGACACGCTCTGTTTCCAGACTTTAGTGTTCATGTAGGGCTCGTTTCTGTTTGTTTTTCTCATTTTGCCTTTCTTTTGTTGACCCTAATGTGGAGCCCACCCAACTGTCCTCAAGTCTTTCTTCACACACACAAAGTTGCTGTTCTAAGGGGGAGTTCCTTTCATAGCAGAGCATGTCATAGGGCCTTGAAAGGCTGCTAAGCAGCGTGAAAATGGGGGGATGGCGAGGCTCGTTCCTCGTCTCAAAAGAGCAGCCAGACACTGATGGCTCCACCGTCCCACATCTCAGGTGCTAATCACTGCCATAAGGGTGGGGGGTGGGGGGGAGGAGTATGTATGAGAGAAAGTTATGCCGTTTCAATATAAAAGCAATCAGCCAAGTTACTCTGACTTTGAGCACATTATTTTAGGTAAGTTGTCAGAAATGAGAGCTGAGTTCTTCTAATGCACTTAAGGCTGGTGCAGACTTGTCACGGATTTCTATTAAACAATCGGTATTTATTTAATTCAATATAACCATGGAAAATTTCAAAGCTGTAATCTGAATAGTTTTTTAGTTATACAGTTTTAATGGGGTTATAAACTGCATCTGAAATACTGAGTTTAACTCAGAACTACTGAGCTGAAACATTAACTGGATATAAATACAACATTAAGAAAACTAGTTCATTTTCAATGCACTAATTTCATGTTATTATATTTCCAGAAGAAAAAAATTCATCAGAGGAAATCTTGATTTATCTGAAATTCAATTTTTTGGTCAGTTTTCAAAATTATTTTTTAATAAGTTCCATCAAACTTGAATGATTCATTTCTGTTGTTTGAATTTGCTGTATTAAAGTCATTTTCTCAGCCTCAAAAATAACAAAACAAACTATAAATGCGAGTTAATTTTAGTTAAATGTCAGTGTTTAAACAGACATTTCTTTTGAAACTGTCTACAGCATCTATGAAGCTCGTGTTAATGGCTGATTCCTCACAAACTCATCTAGGGCCTGTCCAGTCTCGTCAGGGAGTTCCATGAAAAAATCAAGGAAAAAGCCGCTTATTAATTCCTGCTACCAGGCAAAATTTCAAAACTGTATTCCGAGCAGATTTTAGTTATGAATTTTCAAATTTTAGCCTGTCAGGTTCTAAATTTCATCTTAAATATTTGAGTTAAACAGCTTACAAAATGACTGAACTGGAAACATTAAGAGAATATTTCACTGTAAATCAACTGATGTTACGTTAATAAATGCCCACATGTTAACTCATTGGAGGATCATCCAAATTTTGTCTTTGAAATTTCATTTTCAGTTGTTTTTCAAAATTATTTGTTCTAGATTTATATTGCAAATCTATGAATTAATAGTGTAATTAACACATGCAGTATTTTAAGCCTCACAACGTCAAAAATGGATTCTGAAAAAAAAAATCTAAACATCCATTTTCCATTCCTTTTCATCCCTATATTCTCTCTAAAGGGACTAATCTTATTTATTTAAATATGAACATATTTTCTATGTCTCTGACGTTTTTTATTAATATTGTAAACATGAAGCATTTGACAAAGAACCAAATACAAAGAAACAGGAAAACTCTAAATAAACAAACAGTGGATTTCTGAAATATACTTTATAACGCACCAAAAAAAAGTTTTTTTTTTGTTAATACATTCTTTTATTTCTTGTTTTGGGGTGATTTTTTATGCACAGAATCACCCAAGTAAGCAATCTTGCTCGCCATGAATGATTTACTGATTCTAGTTGCTTGAAAGATATGAGAATATCAGGAGAGAACACTTTAACATCCCCCTCATCAGTAACAGCAGCAGCAGAACCTGAGAATTCAGATGACGATGTTATGAGGCTGAGTATCTCAGAGAAACACACAGCCACTAGGTTTGATTGGAAATAGTGGCTAAGATTCCAGTTGGACAGTTCAGATGATGATGGTGAATTTCATGTGTCCTCCTGGCCTGGTCATTTATTTTGATGGCCACCAAGACCAGCTACAAACCAAGATGCCCCAACAAGAAGAAATGCAGAAAACACAATTCCTCTGTGTTTCCAACAAAAGATACTGACTTTCTGTTGCTCTATGAAGGTTATTTTCAAAATCTAGTGTTTTACCATTAGTTTATATTGTGCTTTTTAGGAAAATGTATCATGTTTAAAAACCTATTCAACCATGAAGGAGTCATAGCACTGTAATCTATAATCTGTAATTATAGATTTTTTGTTGTATATTAATCAGACATAACTCTTTATTCAGGCACAAGGACGTAGGATTAGACGCTCTGAAAATATACAGGCTTTTGACCCTTTTTTCTCATTTAATTCTATGCTAACTTAAATATTACATGCAGGAAATAATAAAATAATAATGCATAAATACACTAGAAATGAAGGAGGACTACTTAAAACCTACATTTTGCAAACACTGATGAAGATGAGTTTTCAAAAATATTTCAAAGAAACATAATGCACAATTTCACATTACATGAACAGCGTCCAACAAATGAGCCTCTTATGGGTATTTATTAACATGAAACTCATTGATTTAATGTGAAATATTTTTCTTAGTGTTGTTTTAATGCAGTATTTATGTTTCTCTGTTGTATTTATGTGTTTATGTATTTATATCCAGTTAATATTTTAGCTCAGGTCAGTCATTCTGTAAGCGGTTAAGCCCAGTATTTATTTATGCAATGCAGAACCTAAAGGGGAAAAATGTAAAAATTCATAACAAAAATAAAATATTTGAACACAGCTTTGAAATTGTGTATGGCTGCAGGAATTAAACTGCTTGAATTTACTAATTCATATTTATTCATTTACATTTAGCGGGACCGTACAGGAAGAGTGGCCCGGGATTTACTCATATGATAGATCCCTCAGAAATCTTGTTTGTCCCAGAAAGTGCTTTTCAAAGAAAAACTTCGCAGAGATTTTCACTGAAACGCCTTTTTAGAAGTCTAGTTTTCTACTCACAGGTTTTACTGCTGGATCATCAATTTTTTTGTGAAAATATTTTCATTAAAACAGACAATCCAGATAACAGACATACACAACGATGCACAGTTCATTAAAAGAAATTCAATCAGAATAAGGTTCAGTCCTAAACTGCTGTAATAGAGTCAGCTGCCGCAGACCAGGCGACCACAGTATCAGCCTCAGCTCAATTCAGTTCATTTGTTTTCAAAATACAAAACATAATTTGATCATGGATGGCCAGATATGATATGATATATTTACATCTGACTGGTAGATCTGCTTTACTCATCAGACACTGTGGCTGGTAACCCAACATAAGCCATAATAAAGCAGCTTCAAAAAGATGGTTCTTCAAGGGTTCTTTAGTAAAGGCAGCGGTGCTATTTAGACCCATGAGTTCTATATGGAACAATTTCATGCTTAATTGATTCTTCAAATTGATGGAGAATGAAAATTGTTCTACACAGAACCAAAAAGGGTTCTGCTATTGTTACAATGACAAGCTTGTAGTAATAGAATGACCCTTTTTGATGCTTTATAGAACCACTTTCAAAAAGGTTCCATTCAGAACCATATACAACACTTTCTCTATCCATCTGCAGAACAATTTCACCATGCAAAAAAACATTTAATGGTTAAATGGCTCTATACAGAACTCAAGGATGTAAATAGAACCACTGCCTTTACTAAAGAACCCTTGAAGCACCATCTTTTTAAATGTGTAGAGACCTGCATGCAGCACGAACCACAAACGCTGCACGAATGACTGTAATTTAGTGATAAATAACGTTACAGCTATTAGTCTAATATAGACCGATAGTTAAATCTGCCTTTGTGGATTCATTAATGACTTAGCAGTCGATACGTCAGAATTACGAAATGAATGGAATTATCGAACCAATCCACTGAGAGCAGACTTAATCTCTCTCCTTTGCATTTTACCCCATTTTTTTAAAGACCCCCCAGTTAATTTGAGTTTGAGACCCCTGACCCAAAAGTTATACATACATAAATATAATTTACTATTAAAATTTCCACAGAAGCTGTTGGTCTGAAATGGCCCAAGGCAGAATCAGTGAGCTCCTGGGTGTGACCCTCTGGTTTGCGAGGTCAGGAAGACTTTTATGTGGCAGAAACTGATAAGAACAACAGGAGGTCCTGGCGATGTTGCGCTGGTAGATAAATACAACAGTGTGAAAGTCAGCAGGATCAGCGTGGCCTCTGAACTTGGAAGCAGGAGTGAGTTCATCGAGAGGCTAAAGGAGTAACGGGGAACTCAGCATCTTCATGTAATGTAGAGAAGCTCCTTTCCAGGCCTGTCAAAGGCTGAATAGTGAAGATAGAACTAAGACTGACGCAGTGTGTCTGCGCTGGTGTGCGAACCTTCATTAAAAACGATGGTCTCCAATTTTTGGATGCAGCACACCTGGTGCGCAGTGACCTTCACAGAGATGCTGCTATATTTACATGTATATTTTGTCAGTGTAAGAAAATCTTATGTCTCTGAAATGGTAATTTTACAGAGTTGTTCCATTCACCATGTTCACACAATGTCAAGAGTTGGAGTTTTCAAATGTAATTTGAGGTTTTGATATGATTATTTACGTTTATTCATTTAACAGACACTCTTATCCAGAGCAAAAAAACTGAAAAGCAGTGAAAGCCAGATGCATATAAAGCACTAAGACTTCATTTAGGACATAAGGATTCCTATCATAGGTTGATCAAGATAATTTAAGACACATTTACACTGTGAAGACAAATAGAGAAAAAAAAGAACTCATTTTAATAAGAAAATAAAAAACACACAAGATAAATGCAAAAGATTACTGAAGTACAGGACTCCAGGGATGACTTACAGTTCAGTTGGTGGAAGGTTTTTTTCTTATATAGCTCCTAAACTTTATTAAAATAGCATAGATGTTTTAAAACCAAGATTAAAGTTGGAAGAAAACCTCGTATCTCCATTTTTGACATTTTTCAGTTTGACATAATTTGAAAGTGGCTGTGGCCCTTTACATTGTTTGTAAATTTCATGAAGAATGCACCAAAAGAAACGACCCAAAATGACTTAGAGAAATTCTGGTCCCATTGACTTACATTAAAAGTAAAGTAGGTTTTTTCCTTCTCCTGCAAAGTTACCATTTTGGAGATACGAGGTTTTCTTCCAATAACAGCGATATCTAGCTTAGGCCTAGAGCATAGTAGCTCATTTTCACCTGTGGACTGTAACTTTGCTGTTATTTTTTATTTAGACTGAAGCGTTTTTATCAAGCTGTCTGCCCTTTTATCAAGCTCTCTCTGCCAACTGGCTTCTATTATAAGCGTGTTTCAAGTCAACAGCATTGAGATAACTGTCAGTGCTAAATGACTGTATCCTAGAGATGTGGCAGATAGAGAAACATCCTGGAAATTCTTTTAAATGACATTTGCTGAATGAACACATCGTACAAGTGCAATTGAGAGTGTGAGAAGGTCTAGCTGAGTGGAATAAGATGTAAGAAATGGCATTTTAATGCACATTTGGAACAGATCTGAATCCTCTATCACTACATACAGTTACTATTAAGCAGTATTGCAAAGAAATCTACAGGGATGTTTTTCCACACCTCCAAAGTTCAGTCTTAGTAGTTGGTTGCAATTTCTGCTTCTAATGATCCAAGGAATCCCACATTCAGTGATGTTGAGGTCTGGATTCACTGTTCTGAGAACACCAGCAGCTTATTTGTTTGATTTGCAAACGTTCTTGTCTTTTTTGTCTATTTTATCAGTGAGGGCTTCTTGACAGCTACACATCCTTTCAGACTCATAGTGTTGTCTTTTCACAGTGGAAGGATGGACAGAAACACCATTTTTCAGATCTGAATCAAGAGTGGAGCTCGATTTTCTTCCATTTCTCAAAGATGAAAGCTTTAAGTACTGTTTATGTGATGGGGGCAGTTTTGGTGTCTACCAGGTCTTCCAGGTGGTTGTTAGGAGTCCCATTTTCTCTGTAGCTTTTAATCATTTAATAATCCAGTTTTGGAAACTCATGTTTTATCACCAAGTTTTCTTTGACTTTCCTCCTTTTTATACAAGCAAATTATCTCTACTTATACCTAATCTCCTTAGAAAAAAATCCTGAAAAATTTATAACTTAATGGCCGTTTTGACTGGAAATGACGGGTGGTCTTTGACTTCTGCAATACTGTGCGTGGGCTCTGTACTGGCAAATTCTGGCTTTTTCCAGTTTGTTTCGATGACAAAAACATTCAAATAAACGTTTCAGCAAAATTCGACTGTACACAAAACTCATCATCAAATTCAAATCAGAAAATATCTCCTCTACTCACAAACACAAATGTGGCATCGATTGAAAGTTCAGAACCTGTAAGGGATTTCCCCGCCCGTTTCAACAAGCTGTGAATGAGAAACGACTGAACAAAATGTAAGAAATGGCCTGTGGGAGGGTTTAGCATGGTCAGGGTGAATGAGGGTCTACTTGAAAGCACATTTGTCAGTTAAAACCCAGACACACGCTCACTTACCGTTAAAGCTATCTTGCTAATTGTGTCTAAGCAGAAGGGTATTGGGAGGACAGGTACGCATGTCGTATGTCATGGACTCGGCGGGGGGCTTTTCAAGTGCAAAGTGACCCTCCCTGGGCTTCTCTCAACTGTCCTTTCACACTCCCGCTCTAATGACCTGCCTCTTGCTCCTAGAACCCCAACACATATACATAAACACCAAATGAGACTGTGTTTGGGCCAACAGTCCAGCATGGCTCTTAATTTTATGTTTGGGGGGGGCGTGCAACAAAGCGTGTAATCACTCCCAAGACACCAATACAGCAAAGGCTGAACATTTTAGAGGCTCTAACAGCTCCACTAGGCTACATTACGCAGAAAAGACTGTGATATAATGGAGCTAAAGAGGTTTAACACAACACTTCAACAACTATAGACATCTGGGTCAATATGTGCCCTGTATTAAACCCTTGTAGGTGTAGAGTTATTGCTTTCATTTTACTATAGAGAGTGATGTAATAAATGATGTTTACATTTGATTTCCGTGGTGTTTCGCCAGGTTTCACACTTTCAACTTCGTTTTGAAGTAAAGAAATGATAGAACTGTAGTTAAAAAATGTTAAAGATGTTTTTCTTTTCACCCATAAGACAACAATATTAACTAGAAAGCGAAAAGTCATGGTGACCCTTCTTGATAACTTAATTGGGTGTATATAGCAATTCCAGGCTGCTACGAGGTTGCTGTGGTACCCCAGCTTGTTGTTAGGGCGCTGCTTGGTGGTTGCTGGGTGGTAGCTCAGGTGTTGCTGTGGTATCCCAGGTGGTTGTTAGGGTATTGTCAGGGTTAGCGTGCCTTTCAATGCTCTGCATGTACCACTGCACCACGAATGTATTAAAAGGAATACAGTTTAGGCCAAAAGCTAATAGCAAAACTATGGAAAAACAATAGGCCTCATTCTCCAACATCGTCCTAAGTTTCTTCTTAAATCGATTCTTGAGAAAGGCCCTAAGAAAAAGTCTACGTCAGATTCATGATGTCTTCTTAAAGTGCAGAACTGTTCACATCTTTGAGCTCTTGAGTGTGTGTAGACTCCAAATAAGCAAACATCAGTGAATGTCAGAGTCTTAGTGGAACCTGCGTAAGTGGGTTTTAAAAAAGAAATTTCTTCTTAGGAATGATTGGTGGATGAGACCCCATGTCTCTGGCATTTTCTGACGTCTGGTTCCTATGACCAATTGTCAACAATTCTGATTCTGTACGTTTCTGAGTTTCTCTGTTCTCTGACTCTCCGTCCATCTTAAAGATTATGCAGAATTTTTTAAAAAATGGGTGGAATTCCCCTTAAAGTTCTCTTACCAGAAAATGTAACCGCTCAAGATCGGCATCAATGCATCATAACTGAGAAACTTCCACAGCTTAGAAGGCACAACGTTTCAACCACAGTACAAATGATTTTTCCTTGTTTTTTTTTTTAAAAAGCAAGTCTTTAATATCACCAAGAATAAAACAATTACAGTTAAAAGAACATGAGTTATTCCACTCAGCGGCATCAGTTACAGACAGATAAAATGTAAACGGAAACCAATAGATTGTTCCACTGAGGAAGAGTCTTATGTAGCCTGTTTAAATCCCCAAAGTTTGTTAACTACATAACCGGGCACGTTCAAAATAAATATGGAGCAACTTTCCATAATTTTTCCATAATAATCAATAATTTTAGGCATTATTCACATATTGTTAATTTCTTATACTGTCATTCAAGCTCTACTCAAAACTGGGCTGTAATGGGCTTTTCGAAGTACAAAAATACCTACAGATTAAGATCAAGCTATAGATGTGATTGTGACATATAAGAGAGCTAAAGGTAACAAACGCTAATCCACAACTCAAAACCCCAAGCAGTAACATGACAAAGGTAGCAAATTAATGCTACCCTCAAAAGACTTACTGTATAGAGGAGTTCTGATCAGGATTTGAAAATTAAACCACATCATTCAGTGCTGAGCATTTTATTTACAAGGAAAACAAAGAAGGAGGATATTCCACCTTCAACAGTCTTACAATTACAACCCATAATCCATAACCTGGAAACAACATGCATAGTTAGTTCCTCTGTTTCATTCCTATAAGCAACCAAAAGTTCCATCTATCTTTAACCAGCGAAGGTCAATATTCTTAGCAAAGATCAGGTTTTTTTGTCCTCACCTTTTTTTAGAGGAGTATGATGTCTTAATCTTTTCACACATTTGAGGCACAGTCTTAATTCAATCTCTACTTGCGGTTCAGAATTTGGTGGAGAAGAAGGAAAAAAGGCACGGTCAGTGCAAACCGAACTCATCCGTTAAAGTGCATGTATCATCATAATCACTTATTTTTACCTTGACACATTCTCAAAGTCACTGCTGGTGAAGTTTTGGATGCAAAAATTGACCTCATTAACCACCTCTAGAACAGGCCTTGTTTTGGAGATTGTGGCTTCACGTCTTTTCGGTGGTCCTGATACAGAGAATAAATTGCATGCAGTTGCTGAAAAAGAAAAACTGAAGAAAAAGGAAAAGAAACCCAGTATATTCTTACCACAAAGCAGACAGACTGCCCTTATTGCTGTGGAACTGAATATTACGCCAACGTGTGATTGGGTGAGCAAAGTTTGATATGATTTCTTTACCAGTAACAAATTCAGCTTTGGAAAGACTTACGATCTGAAATCGCCAAACCAAAGTGAAACATTAACAAGAGTTTTAACACGAGAGGTCAGTCTATGGGGCTGTTCAGGACAGTAGTGGAGGAGCAGGAGGATGAGCAAAAGTCTGGAAAGAACTGCTGACTGACAGCAGCATAACTGCGAACAAAAATCGAGACTGATGCTAACATGAATGCTAATCATATGGACAGACGCTAACAAAAGTCTGAACGGATGTTAACAGAAGTGCTGACAAATGTTTGAACTGATGCTAACAGAAATCCTAAAAAAGCCTGAATTGTTACTAACAGAAATCGAACAAAACGCTGGACTGGTGCTAACAGAGATGCTAACAAATGTCTGGACTGACATCAAATGCTAACAGAGGTCTGGATTAATGCTGTCAGAAGTGCTAACAAAAGTCTGGGCTGATGCTAACCAAAGTGCTATGAAAAATCTGGACTGATGCTAACCAGTCTGGATAGAATAATGCCTACATAAATAATGCTCACTCTGTGGAACCTCTACACTCACCGCGTCCCCAACTAATCACCCATTTAAACCCTTTAAACGATTACAAATAAAGAAGTGAAAAACCAAACAACCAAAACAGTAAATTAAGTGAAAAACTGGTATGTACGTCACTGAGTGTGCGTAGTATGATTTCTATTTGTGTGCTAATCAGTAGTTTATGTACGCTTAGATTATTACAAGTAGTACTAAATGTATATTGTGTAATATATGAATGTTCACGTAAATGTAAGAGCACTGGTAAGAGCTTCAAATCATTTAGACAGTTCTGTCATGCACATACCCAAGACAACTGGAAAAAAAACAGTACTGTGGAGGGTCCTATCTGTACATGCAATGTTAAACAAAAAAAAGTGCATCAAAGTTGTCACAACATGTCAGTTTTCAAATTCTCAAACAACAAAAAAGACAAATGTTTATAAAATATAACAAAGAAAAACTTTGAGTGAAATTAATAGCAAATATGATGCCATTATTCCAAATATTAGACATAATAAATAGCATAGTCAATCAATTCATACCTGACCAAGCCAACTGACTGCATCAGACTTCTGACATCACAATGTGCTTTCAGTATCAGATGTATGCACTGACATTTGTAAAAGGTGGGCACGTGAGAAATTTCTGAGAATTCAAGAATTCACCAATTTTAAAACCCCTCCCTATATCACCTGAGACCACCTGTCAGCCGTCGTCACTGGAGTTGTCCGAATCATCCCAGTCCACCTCCTCCCAAGATCCTTTGGCTCTTTGCTCCCAGCTCTGGGCCTGAGCCAGGGTGTTTCTGGGCACCAGGGCCACGCAGGCCGACAGCCCGGACACACGGTCGTCCAAAGACGTGCCGCTTTGCCAGTGGTCCTCCTCTGGGTCGTAGATGTGTACGTATTTCATGCGGCTGCCTTTGTCGTGTGACCTCCCGCCCAGGATGTAGATCCGGCCGTCCAATACGGCCATGCCTGGCTCTCCGTGGCCGGCAGGGAGCGGGCACACCACTGACCACACGTCTGCTGTTGGGTTATAGCATGCCACCTGCAAAGACAAGCACAGCACCACTGTGATCACAGAACGGCTCGCTTTGAACTTGTGTTGTAGTACTTGAGTCTGGTCTTGGTCTTGAGACCTTGAACTAGCAGTCTCCGCCCCGTCCTGGTCTCAACATCATTTAGACTCTGCCTTGTCTCAGCCTCGGGGTAAGGTGGACCGGGAAACTGTTATTGAGACCAGCCGAGCGTGATGCCTCCATCTGAGGTGAATTATTATTGAATATCAATAAAACGAGAATAAACAGAATAAAACTGTTCTTCCTCTGCATGAAGGGTTCCAAAAATTTTGCCACACACAGCCAAAACAGACAACCACAAAATCTTCAACGGATTTATGCGATCAGATCATCTATTTCTGACTCACCTAATGTGATGGCTGATGTTTGGCAGCTTCTGAGTGCTGATGTCAGAAGAGAGAACAGCTGAAAATGGAGTTCTGGCTCAATGGACAGGTTTAGTTACCTATTTGATATGTTTGGTCTCCAAGCACCGATGTAAATTGATGGGTTTCAAAGCTTCAGTTAAAAAGACCCCTGAGCAAACAGCACGGAGCCGTGGTTACTCGTTTTCAACTCCCATGCATGTAAAGCCCAAAGCTATGGATTCATTGCTGTTTGTCCTTCGTTTTGGTTTATGCTTGCACTGAAAATATAAACACAATTAGCTTAAATTTTGCCAGGACAATCAATGAACTCTATATCAATATAATGTTTTATTTTTGCAAATAATAAACAACATTTGTCATTTTTAAAATTATGTTTGGTTAAATGTTTGTATTTAATGAACTTTTGCATTAAAAAAATTGAAGTACCACCACAGCCCACTGAGAATCTAATTGAGCCTTTCCAGAATGGCTTAACTCAGTATTATGTCCACTGGTTCCAAAGTTCAAACATTCCTTTAGGCCAGATCAGAATGTTATTAGAACTATGTTTTCTGAAGAAAGAAACAGCGAATAACTTTAACACTGCTTCCAGTTACAATGCACAGTCTGACTAAGATTATAATACAACCCCATTTCCAAAAAAGTTGGGACGCTGTGCAAAATGTAAATAAAAACAAAATGCAATGATGTGCAAATCATTTTTGCTGAAATAATCGAGGCCTTCCCTGAAAAAGACGTCGTCTAGATGGCAGCATATGTTGCCAAAACATGTTTATATTGTTCAGCATTAATGGTGCCTTCACAGACGTGCACGTCACCCATGCCATGTGCACTAATGAACACCTATACCATCATGAATACTGACTTTTGAACTGTGCACTGATACTAAGCTAAGTGGTCTTTAGCCCAGAGGACACAGTGTCCATGATTTCCAAAAAGAATTTCAAATGTTGATTCGTCAGACCACAGGACAGGTGTTCCTCAGACCATGCAGTGATTTCCACTACAGAATCATGTCTGTTTTTAATGCAGTGCTGCCTGAGGACCCAAAGATCATGGCCAGCAAACGCTGTTTTTTGGCCTTGTCCCTTGCATACAGAGATTTCTCCAGATTCTCTGAATCTTTTAATGACATTATGTACCGTAGATGATGAAAAGCAAAAGTTCTTTGCAATTTTATTCCTGAATTGTTGCACTATTTGATCGTGCAGTCTTTCACAGAGTGGTGAACCCCTCCTCATCTTTACTTCTGAAAGACTCAGCCTCACTGGGATGCTTTTTTATACCCTATCATGTTACTGACCTGTTGCCAATTAACCACCAGGTGTTTTTCTTTCAGCATTACACTTTACCAGCCTTGTTGCCCCCATCCCAACTTTTTTGGGACGTGTTGTTGGCATCAAATTCAAAATGGGCATATATTTTTCAAAAAACAATAAAATCTCTCAGTTTCAACATTTGATACGTTGTCTTTGTGCTAATTTCAATTAAATATAGGGGTTAAATGATTTGCACATCATTGCATTGTGTTTTTATTTAAATTTTGCACAGCGTCCCAAGTTTTTTGGAAACGGGGTTGTATAATACTAACTAATTATATTCTTGCTCTCAATCTTGACTTGGACTCAACGTGTCCCGGTCTCGGTCATGACCTGGACTTGGCTCTAGCGGCCTTTACTACGACAAGTTTTGCAGTTTGTTCCCATTAATCTGCATCACAGCAGTACTGTGCCTCTTTGTTATTGCTACTGTACTCTGCAGTACAAATGCTGTTTTGCAGCAGCTGTTACATAAAAAATACACAGTGTCTAAAACGACTGTGGAGTTTTCCAGCCATTTTTACACTAAAATTATTTTATCAAGTTTCTTTTACCCCCATTGATTGGATGTTAAGGATTGTATACGACTGTCTGTAGTTACTGTGTTTAATAATATAAAATCAATTTGGAGCAAATGCTGATAAAAAAATGTGATGCTGATCCTGTACAACTTTATGGGTTTGAATGATGAACATATCTGCAGAAAATGTCATAACAACTGATAAATCTGTAGAGCATCGGAGATGAAGAAAAAACAGAAATACAATCAAGAATGCCCTTAAACTTTGAGGCAGACAACTTGATGAGAATATATTAACTAAGTTATTAAGTTAACTATTAAGATTAGTATCATTTATCTTTTAATGACTTACTGTTGAAATATTTAAGAAAATATCTGAACACCTTCTGGTGCCTAGTTCATCATATTTGAATATACTGTACACTCTGTAAGCTGTAGAAGTTATTCATGAACAAAACAACAAGAATTACTAACACAACAAGGAACATAACAAGGAACCTCTGAACAGTAGTTTTTGCATTTGGTCAATGCAACAAATATTTTACCATAAAGAACCTTTGATACCACCCTGAGGTTTTATTGGAGCCTCTCCCTCTTGTTTGGAAGCTTTAGTGGTTTCTCTGGCTGTAGCATTTTATGGTTCTGTGGCAATAAATGTGAACATTTGACTCATTCCGCACCTTGAGGACGTCCCGTCTGTAGCCGCAGCCGTCGTTGCTGCCTCCGATGACGTAAGCTCGCCCGTTCAGTTCCGCCATCCCATGCCAGGCTCGCTCTACTGGGCCCTCAGAACACACAGTCCACCGGTTATCCTGAGGGTCATAGCAGTAGGTCTCCTTCAGGTAGGCCATTCCTCTACGACCACACGCAATGTAGATCTTTCCGTCCACAACTGCTCCAGCATGGGCATACACCTAGAGAATGACGATATGACGTGCATCACATTGTGAATACTACAGTACACTATACTACAGTGATAGTTTAGTGAAATGTTGAAATGTTTTCCAATTATTATTCCAATCTTATAATCTGAATTTTTCCATTTTTATAGATAACAGGATGTCATACAGTGTCAGAAAACACATTAGCAAGTCTAATTGATATAACGACTGGACATGGTTTGAGGTGAGTGTGGTTAATTTAGGCATGCGGTTTGTATGATGCTAACTGTTTGGCTATAAGCTTCACTTACTTATTAGCTATATTAGCCTCGTAGCTTCAGTGCTAATCTAAAGAAACAAACTTCATCTTGGCTGATTAACTACATTTAGGGTAGAGAGAAAGTCTGTGTAAAGTTCTTGTCAAACTTTTGCTTTTACATGTACGACAGGCATCTGTCAGACCTCTCGTTTGAGTGGGGCCACGTATTCCCATGTGTTGGCTCGAGGGTCATAGCGCTCGACGCAGTCCAACTCATTGCTGTAGTCACGACCTCCAATAGCATAGATGAAGTCGCCCACCACACACACGCAATGGTCTGCATGCTGCCGCCGCAAGGGTTCGACATTACACCAGGTGTTGTGTCGAGGATCGTATCTGTTAAAAACAGCCATGTATACACACGTTTACTTTAGACCTTTTTAAATGTGATGATAGGTTTCAGACAATTACGTATAAATATATATACATATGGTCCCATTTGTATTGTATGTTTGATTACCCTAGACAGTCATTTTCATTTGAAAAACATTTTGTACTGTTGAATCTGTACTGATCTAAAAGGTTTTTTAGAGAGATCTGTGATGCCGTGGATAGTAGTGCTTCATGTTTCTTAGTATAACTTACTGCTTTATGTTGTGACTGTGATGGCAAAACACACAGTGAATATACAGCTTCATATATAACCATTTAACACATTGCAGCTGTAGCCTTCTCTGATCCTTTATCTGTTACGTATTTTGGTTTAAACTGTTAAGTAAAGCAGGTGTGGGGAATCCCGATTCCAGAGGGCCGGATTCCTGTACAGTCTGATGATTTTCCTGCTCATGCACACCTGATTAAACTCATCAACTAATTACCAGATTTAACTGGTGTGCTAAAGCAGGGAAATCACCAAACTGTATTGAACTCTGGCCCTCAGTTCCCCTGATTTAAAGAATTCTCCAGCATGACCAAAAGACAACCCGCTTACAAAAACGCACTTCTAACAGGAGGCAATGGGCAGCTGCTTCAAAAAGTGTGGTCAGAGTCAAAAGGTTTTGTGCTCTTTTACTAAGTACAGGCAAATGAATCCAAATTACTGTCCATGTTAATAAGACTGTATTCCTATAAGGGAAGGTAAAACCTTCAGGTCCTATGCGTGTACGTATCGATACCGTTGATGCACAAACACACAACATTCACTGACGTCTACAGTACAAGACATTTTTTCTTCATGGATCAGAGATTTGATACGTCCACTCACCTCCAGCAGCGGGCCTCGGCACGGAAGCCGCTGCTGTTCTTGTCTCCCCCGATCAGGTAAACAAAGTTATTCAGGACAGCGATGCCCATGTTGGACATGCGGGGAGCGCGATCTGCACCGAGACTGCGCCACTCGCCCCAGGACGGATGGAACACCTGTATGCGCTCTTCATTGTCAGCCGGCGGGCCGGAAGAATACATGCCACCAAATCCCAGGATACACAAGGAGCTGGAGCGCGGCTGAGAGAGAGGGCTCTGCATGACCGGCTGCCACAGCTCCTGACTGTGATAGCGGAGGGCAGCAGAGACAGACTCACGCAGTGGGCAGGGCTTCAGGCGGCTGTGGAGACGCTGCAGGGTGGCCTTCTCCATCAGACAGAAACGCACCGCCTCCAACATCAGCAAGGGCTCCTAACCAGATCAATATATTTAGTCAACAGAATTTCACAACTATCATCATATTCTAACCCATTAAAACATTCATCTTGTCTATTAAAGTGTACATACTTGTGTCATACAGATCATACACAGAACCCTTTTCAAACTCACATTTTTATGCATGGACTTAATAATTTTATACTTATAATAATAACAATTCAACAATAACAAGACAATCTGACATAAACATAGAAACTTAAATACAAACGTTAAAAATAAAAACCAGACACTGTGTTTTGTGTCCCTCCAACATATCTAGAAAAGTTCAGATTGCTAACAGAAACACATTTGATTAAAAACGGCATTAGGGTTTGGATTAGGTTTAAATTTTGGATTAAGTTTAAGGTCTGGTTTTGGGTTAAGGTAAATGTAAGATATTTACTTGAATGTCAGTTAAAGATAAAATCTACAATGCATCCACAGTGGACCACCCAATTTCTTTCTGTTTTACAATAAAACAGTCTATAAGGTCTATTTTCAAAACCAGAAAGAACATTCTGGCGTGGAGCTATGCTTCAAGCCAAACAGAATTTAGTCTATTCATTCCAGATGTACCTCTAGAAAAGTTTCTGCCTTCGTTCCTCCCGTCTGAAGGCACATCTGATCCATGTCCAGCTCCTCGGGGCTGTAGTGGTAGTGCAGTGCAGCCTCAAACACCTCACACTCTGAGCTCACCTGCAGCTCATCGCTGGACAGCACTCGCAGAACCTTCTCTGCAGGCAGCTGACGGTAAACAGATGTGCGAGAGAAGGTCTGGATGTTTTTCAGTAGGTATGAGCGTACCTTCTCTCCCAGCTGCTCTAGTCCGTAGATGTCGGCAAGCTTCTCCACCTCCAGTATGTTGTCATCGTCCAGCCAGGAGAATAGGAACTCACAGCAGAACCCGATTACATCCTTGACCTGAAAGAAAAAAATGACAAAAAAGTTCAGTCATGAAAACATTCAAAAGAACTATTCTACGACTGCCACTGCAGTTAGATTAAGCAATGGCATGCAGTTTGTTATTTGGTGTACATAAATACTCCAATACTTGTTAGCAACATAAGCTTTTTGTATTTCTCCATAGGTAAATTGTAGAAATTTTACCTTGGCAGTTGATGTTTCTTGGAGGTTTTTATTTATTTACCCTTTTTGCGGTTCTCTGAGCTGCAACTTAAAAGCTCACACCATTAAGTTCCGTGATGGTTAAGCCCAGAGATGGTAGACCATTCTAAGAGCCTTACCTGCAGCAGCGTGGCAGCACAAAGCACCTCCTGCACCGTGTCCAGATCCAGCTCCAGCTCAGAAGTGTAGATGAAGTCCAAAAGTTTAGTCATGGCTGTGTGTGTGACTCCATGAATGGTGATCTCCGTCTGCTGCATCTCTCGCAAACCACCAGCAAACATACCTCTAAAAGTATGGTGAAAATACAATATACATACAGCATAACTACAGTATTTATGTTTGAAATAATTTGGCATGTGTTTCATGAAGATTTAGTCTAAAGGTGTAAGTCTGAAAAAAAATAAAATAAAATGATGCCCTCTGAAAATCGTAATTAAATAATCAACTATCACATAATTAATGTTCTAAAATAGACAGCAAAATGTATTTTGTAAATGTTCAATTCAGTATTTCAAAACCTGTGGGAACAGAAGGAAATTAATAAGTTAAATAAATAATATATATCAATAATATATATAGCAATAAATCATCTATATATGGAAACATCTTGCCTTCTATCTACACATTATAACATCATTCTCAGTGTTATACAACTTTCTCTATCATTTTATAAATCATCTACAGATTTGCTGAACATTTTCAACACATCTAAGGTTTCAAATTATTTTAAAACAGCTTCCTGAAGGTGAAGAGTACTAGCATCATATTTCAAATATTTGATCCATTTAAAGAGGAGCTATATTGTTAAGTTGTTAAGATGTAAAAAAAAGGTCATTCAGAGTGGTTTGATGTGAAATGTTTTGCCCTAAAGAAACAAATTCAGTCAGAATTGTTTAGAGTGGTGGTGACGGGAACCAGATTTCTTTTTTTTTGTTAACAATTTTTTATTTTCAATATTAAACAGAAACAAAATGTACATAGACAACACAGATACAAATAAATGCTTTCCCCCCTGAACTCCCCCCCTCCCATCCACCCACCCCCAGTTGGGAACCAGATTTCAGAAGAGTTTAATGCCCTCTAAATGTTTCCTCACATAAAGTTATAAATGTGAAATTGTTACATATACTTTGCCTGTTGCTTGAGACATTGTTTTATGTTCGTCTTGAGAGAAGGTTCTGGCTTATAACATAATTTTTAAAATCCATATATGGCAGCAAGGTACATACAGGGTGTTGTAAGAAAAACAGTATCCAAAGACAATGTGTCTTTTCAGATTTACCAGTATATTTCCATGATAAAAGTTCCATTGAAATATCAGAGAACATGTGTAGATTCACTGGAGGTTTTAGATAGTAAATAAAATGGCTATGTCTGTGTTGTAGACATTGTGACCCCTGGTACCCATCACCATTGCTGTAAAGCAAATTTAGCTTGACAAGTTCTCTAGAACAGAATATTTCACATTACATATTTGTTTACATCTCAAAGATTTATGTAGAAAATTAGAAAAATTGGTGGAACTTCCCTTTAACTGCAATGAAACCGATGTTATATTATTCAACTTATTTTATATCATTGAGTGATTCCATACTTTTGAACGGTACCATACCTTCTTTTACCTTTGTGTGTGTGACTTGAGAATTCCTTCACACTATGCTCAAACAGCTATTAAACTGCTGACCTGAAGTAGCCACAGGAGGCTGCCAACAGGATGCGATGAGCTTGAATGGGTCTTTCCTCCACCAGGAGTACAACATCAAACAGAACACCCCCTTCACGCAGAGCGAGGAGCCCGTCTAAGAGGTCTCGGGAGTGACCCCTGCTGGAGAACCTCTGCCTGGCACACGGCTGCCCGGATCTCGCACCCCGTCCTGCCCGGACTGGGCCGGCGTCCACATCATCCGCCATCTCAGCACCACGCGACGCAAGCCCTCGTCCTGCTGATCACATCGCCTGAAACCCTGAGATGTGTGAAGCTTCACATTACTGAGGAAAGAGAAAGGGGGGAGTTGGAAAAGACAAAAAAAGAAACAGTGACAAATCAACATTTGCATCCATTAACTTTTTCAGACGCTACAGCTGAGTATAAAATAATACACAAAACTACAACATTACACTGAGACTGTACAGACCTTATATTCTTATGACTTACTACGCAGACATTTGGAGATCTGCACAAAAATATGCCAGCCACTTTGGTTTAGGCGCACTCTTAAAGATTGTTCTTTCATGGTTCTATTTAGAACCAAGAGCTCTATATACAACCATTTCATGCTTAAATGGTTCTTCAGATTGATAGAGAATGTGTTGTATATGGTTCTACGTAGAACCTTTTTGAAAAATGGTTCTTTTATTGTAAAGATGTCAAGCTTGTTACAATAGCAGAACTCTTTTTGGTGCTATACAGAACCTTTTTCAAAAAGGTTCTATACAACAAATTCTTCCTGCTTAAAAAAGAACTCTTCAGATTGATGGAGAATGTGTTGTATAGAACCATTTCCAAAAAGATTCTACACAACACATTGTTCCTGCTTAAAATGGTTCTTTGCATGGTGAAATGGTTCTTCAGATTGATGGAGAATGTGTCGTTTACGATTCTATATAGAACCTTTTTGAAAAACGGTTCCTCCGTTGTTATGATGTCAAGCTTGTTACAATAGCAGAACTCTTTTTTGGTGCTATACAGAACAAATTTCCAAAAGGTTCTATACAACACATTCTTCATGCTTTAAACGGTTCTTTGCATTGTGAAATGGTTCTTGATGTGTTGTACAGAACCACTGTCAAAAATGTTCCATACAGCACACATCAACCTGAAGAATCATTTCACCATGCCAAGAACCATTTAAGCATGAACTGGTTCAATACAGAACTCATGGCTCTAAAAAGAACCATTCCCTATACTGAAGAACCTTTGAACCTTCCTTTTTAAGAGCGTACAACATCCATCTAAATTATTAAGTGCCTTTAAATAAATAAATCATAAATCATATATACTGCAGTGCTCAGTTCTTAAAACCTGAAACATGAGTTTTAAAAGTGCGATCACAGTTAAAAACGACTGTTAGCTACCGGAAAAAACGTCGTTTTGTTTCTCAAGGAAGGAACCTGAGAGTACTGTCTGCACCAACCCTGCAGAGCTCAATGAACTCCGCATAAATACAGTACACTGATTCGAGTAATTTATAAAACCTAGCCAACAAATTAATGACTATGTTTCGAACTTGTCCCATTTGTTCACTACACAAAATGGGATACAACGTCAGGAAGTGGATAAAGTGTCTTTACTCCTGATTCCCTGTTTACCACGGGATAGGTGAAGACGGTCGCCAACACTTGTGCCTTTGCAACAAGGTGGCTAACGAGCTAACGCTAACGCTACCGCTTTGTGAGGCGGAATAACATTAAAGAAAAAACACATGTCGGCAGCAAACAAGTCACGCTAATAAAGAAGCAATTAAACAAAACAAAGAAATTAGCAAAAATGAGCACATACGCATTGGAGAAAGGAGCTTATAGCGCTGAAAGTCGGCAGTAAGCGCTGACAGTTGACATTTCGCTTACGACGTTAGCTTAGCGACGTCCGACTCATGAACCAATCGGTTCTTTTGAACCGGCTCTTTTCAGTGAGCCCGTGTTGTAGTTTAGGGAGCCCCCAAAGGGTCCCTCGTTTGACTGTGATTCAGTGAATCGCCAAATCCAGTCGCTGAAACGTTCGATTCATTCAATGGAATCGGTTCAGTGTACTGACTCGAACTCCCCAACACTACATTAGCCAGCTGTGTTTACATTCGCCAGCTGACTCTGACTTCCGGCAACATTAGACTGATGGGGAAAAAAACACATTTCACGCTTTTAGTAAAAGACAATAGGGTCACATTTTAAAAGAACAGGTTTCACAGCGAGTCTTTGTCACCTGATCAGTGATCTTCCCGTTTTTTGCATACGTTTTTGAAAATTACAGATTTAAGATATGCACTTGGAACGATAACGCAATTTAAGATGCATGAATTTGTATATTTAAAAGTATAATGTTAGGGGAATTCCACTGACTTACACTGACAAGCATAACTCAGTCACTGAGTTGTAAACAAAGTCATTCAGAGTTAATAGTTATGGAATGGTTTGTTCTAGAGAAACTGTGGTGGTGATAGGAACCAGACATCCAAAGAGTTTAATGCCAGCCTCATCACAAAACGTTGGATTAAACGATATGAATACACTGTATTTTATGAAAACACTGTTTTGTGCTAAACCACTCTTTAACCATTATCAACACTACCTATAAAATATTAGATCACACGTGGTTCATTGCTCGGTTTAGCTAAATGAACATCAATAAAATGGCTATTTGTGCCCTTGGCATTGTGACCTTTGGTCCTATCACCACCACTGTAAAGAGGTCCGAGCCGGTGCGTTTCTCTACACAGAACCATTTCACATCAAACCACTCTGAATGACTATGTTTACATCTCGGTGATTGAATTACCTTTAGTTTTAAAAAAGTATGGTGTAGTTCCCCTTTAAGCATTAACATGTTTTACAGAGCACACTTTGCGTTATTATTTTCACGTCTCAATCCGCAGACTAATACGGAGCCCTGCTGGTGAAATCCCATATAAATAAAAATAATGCGTGGCCATGCCTTATTAACGCGTGAGAACAAGATCCTAATGTATGGCCACGACTTAGTTAGGTGTGGGAATGCAATAATTAAGTCATAGCCACGACTTAGTAATGCGTGGGAATGAGATCATGCCGTACTAAGTCGTGGCCACGCATTATGATCTTAGTTCCACACCTTACTAAGACGTGGTCACGCGTTATTTTTATTTATACGGGATGTCACCAGCAGGGCTCCGTAGACTAGCACATTGAATAATATGCAAATATAGCATATATACCATTAGAAGTGCACTCATTAGTGTAGTAGGTGAAGTACAGATTATAGCTTTGCTGTGCTACACATGAACTGCTCAGTAACAGTTTGAGGTATTTGTTAATTAAGGATCATTCATTGAGGTAAATTGATGCATTTATTGAGGTAAGATGACGAATAAGAAGCTGACTCGAGCTTGATATATATGTATGAGTTAATTATTTAATAGCTTTGGCAGCTTATTTATTAGTTTTTATAAAATTTGATGCACTGGAATGTTTTGAACTCTGGAGACATGCAGGCTATACGGGTCCAGTCCACCAATCTAGCTAATGTTCTCCTCATAGTGTTTTGTAGAGACGCATCTAAAGCGTCTACATGTCTTTAAATCTTTTTAGTGGTAACTCTGGTCTGTTTTGCTTGTTTTTTATCCATTTGCAGGGTTGCAAATGCAGTAAAGGTGATGAGATGAGCTCTGTCAGCACAGTCAGGGTCACAGCTTGCCTTCCAAAATGGCGACGTGGTCTTCGTGGTGATGTAGTTGAATACTACGAAATCTCCTCTCTACAAGTTCTCTGGCTTGCCTACCAACGTGGCCAGGTGGGCTTCTTAATGATGCAGTCAAGCACTATGAATATTAACTGATGCCATGTTTACTATTAACAGGACCCACTGGTAGAACATATTAAAGCAATAAGCCCAGAGAGGCCGTGGGTCACTGCGATTTTATCACAGGAAGTATTAAATCCCTTCCAGTGATAAAATCACAGTAATGCACAGCGTCAAGTGGCTCATTGCTTTTATAAAACGGCGGGCAACATAAAATATGATAAAATACATCACTTTTCGGAAAATAATTTAAGTTATTATTAATAATAATCGCCATAAGCATATATTCTGCAATAAATATCGTTTCTTTAGAGTGTCCAAGCAACCATGGGCCGCTGAATGAGGAGAACGCTTGGTCGCCCGTTGCTGTATATTGCGGTCATTTCATGATTTTTTTTAGGTTTTTGTCGAATAAGAATGAACATATGATAACACAGCACTGTTTAATGCAAAAACTTTCACTTTCTAAGCACTTTTTGGTCACCAAATTACCACAGAGTATTATTTAGCACCAATTTAGCGGTGCCCTCTTCTCGGGCTCTCAAGTGGCTCCCAGCTCCCTACATAGTGAACTTCGTAGGAATTTAAATACTGGCTCCTACATCCCAACAGTGCAAAAATAGCTAAGAAATAGTCATTTGGGATTCAGCCACATCCACACTCGATAAATGATGCACTATTTGGCTGTAGAGGCTAGAATGTCTAAAGTTTAATAGCTAGGACTCTGTTTAGGGAGCCGTTCGGGATTCAGTCTGGGTTTGAGACACTTCTGACTGAAACAGGAACATTTGAAGTGCGTAATCCACTCAATTTGTAAAAAAAATCTGTAAAAAAAAACACTGTTTTACAGTTAATCATACCATCCATCCATCCATCCATCATCTAAACCGCTTATCCTTCTGGGTCGCGGTGGGGTGCTGGAGCCCATCCCAGCTGTCATTGGGCGGAAGGCAGGACACACCCCAGACGGGTCGCCAGTCCATCGCAGGGCAGACACACACACACCTAGGGGCAATTTAGCATGTCCAATCAGCCTGACTGCATGTCTTTGGACTGTGGGAGGAAACCCACGCAGACACGGGGAGAACAGGCAAACTCCACACAGAAATGACCCTGGTCACCCGGCCGGGAATCGAACCCAGGCCATTCTTGCTGTGAGGCGACAGCGCTACCCACTGCGCCACCGTGCCGCCCTAATCATACCATAAGTACTTTAAATCAAGCCTGTGATATTAATGATGGAGTTGTTTAGGCTGTTGGCTATGTTTTAGCTTGTTAGCTACAGATACACTATTCAGTTGTTGTTAGGTGATCATAGATTGGTATATTGTGGATTTTACAAAGGCTTTGAACACAGCTCAGCCAATCAGATTTTGGGACCGAAACTATCTGTTCTATAAAATGAAAATTACAGAGGTCCTAAAACAGAGCCAGAGATACTTTACCATGGTACAAACAGATGATTCTCTGTTTGCATTCACAAACTGATAGAGATCAGTCAGGTAAGATCTAAAACAGGAAAGAGTTATTCCTCTTACTCCTACAAGGTTTTCCCTCTTATATCTGTCTAGCTTGTCTAGTGGAATAGTGTGGTCTACTGTATTGAGTGCTGCACTAAAATCAAGATACTGTCGTCGAAAAAGTAAGAAACTTATACTCAAAACAAGTGTTAATCTAAGTTGGCCCAGGCAGCAACTGACCAACTCACCAAATTTGACACTTTTTATACTTCTTTGGGGCAAGGGGGGGCTTGCACCTGACTCCCTCTAGCCCCTCCCAGTTATGTAATCTCTTTTCTGATTTGCCACCGTTATCTTCAAGAAAATTCCCAACAATTTTTCCAAACCCAAAAGTAACATATATATTTTTTTAAATAGCCGCAGGCCAAGGCCACTACCAAGCCTTGACCCTACAACTTAGTCTCTCTATGTATGTGTGTTCTCCCCCTTTGAGACATCTTAATACTGATAGGGAATAAGCAGAATATCTTTAATACTGATAAAGGATAAGCAGGCGTCATCCCAAGTGTGTGTCATTTATTATGATTAAAATAATGTATTGTTATGAAAAAATCTTCTATTTTATAGAATACTTACAATTTTCTCTAGCTCTGTCTCAGTACTATTACAAGGCCTAAATCCGGACTGAAATGTTTCATGTATGTGATTTCTATGCAAGCAGGAACTTACTTGTTGCCCCAAAAGTGTTGTGTACAGAATGGTGCACTACAACTTTAGTGTCTTGAATGTTCTTATGAAGAGATATTATAAAGCATTATAGAACCTGACTTTCTGGAGTCATATGCTCTTGCTGTATAAAATGTTATTCATGTAACTTCAGCTACTTATAAGCAATTACACAAGTTTATCAAAGGCATTATAAGGCATTATGTACGCCATTTACTGCATTCTTTAGCATTATGAATACAGGATTCATATTGAGTTTGGACACATCAAATCAAGTCAAAGTTTATTTAAACAGCACTTTTTACAACAAGCATTGGCACAAAGCAGTTTTACAGAACAATCTAAATTATCTAAAAAAAAATCTAAATTAAAATATAGAAATGGGAAAAGCAGGTAAAGCAATGGCTATTCTTAAATAGGTTGATTCTCCATTTTGGTCAAACTAGTCCAAGAGGCTGGCGAGCAGTGGGCACCCAATCAAGGCAGATGAAGCAACAGCATCAGACTGCACAGGATGGGCAGTTGTTCAGCTCAGCAAAGAAAAAGAAAACACACAGAGTTAGGTCTGTAAAGAGTGACCGATTACAGTCTACAGGGCTAAACTACTACGCTACTGCACACTGAATTGACATCATTAGACTGGCAGCTCCCTTATATACCATGCAGACCAGCCTGCTTTGCTAATGTGACAGTGGTCTTTTAAGCTTAAGTCTTAAATTAGACAAGGAAAGGCCAGGTCTTTGGTTTCTCACACGACCGACAGGCGTCGAGCTTCGACGGCAGCCATGGACATTCTCCTTACGCCTTCCCGGACTGAGCCCTTAGCATAGACCTGAGGCAGGGCTGCGCTGGAGTCAATAATGTTTGCCTGAAACAGAGAATTAAGACCAGAGTCAATGGTCTAGCTACAGTATGCGGCTTATTTCCAGTGGAACAAGGTACAC